TGCAAGCCTGCCATGGCTTCTCCTGCTAAGCACCAGGCTGAAAACCTCGCACAATTGCATCTTTCCTAAACTGTAACAAGCTCTCTCTCACTCAGGGCGGGCAGCGTCATGTGGGGCTGGGGGCGGTGGCAGCCAAGGCCTGGGGGGAGCAGAGTGGYGCAGCGGGARCGTGCTGGGCCCATAACCSAGAGGTCGATGGATCGAAACCATCCTCTGCTAAGGCACTTTTTCACCGCTGCTGCCTCACACAACAACTTTTACCCTGCTTGGCTTTAGCTCTCTGGGTACCCCTGGCCCTGACCTTCCTCTTCCCTCTGCCCCAGCTGCCTGTCACGGCCCAGGGATGAATGTATGACTTCCTGAGCCACAGAACAGGCTCCCTGGCCAATTCATCTCCCTTGGGCCTCATCTGTGCACCTCCAGGGCCTGGCCTTGCCCTTCTCCCACACCTCCTGCACAAAGCCCTGCATGGCCGCTTCCCCTTTGACCACCCACGCCACCGCTGCACGTGCTCAAGGCATGGCCAGAGCCAGGCTGCAGCCTCAGGTATTGCTGGGAGCACCTGGAATCCAGGGACATGCTGACGGCTGCAGCCCTGCCCAGAAATGCGGCTCTGCTCCCCCGCATGCTGCGGGACTGCACCTGACTGACAGGTCACTTCTCTGCTGGCCACAGGCTCCTTTTGCTGGGAATTACCARSGKARGGAATTYRCCTCTTTTAGCTGTGCAAATTGGGGTGCACAGCTCAGTGCTGCTCATGGTTACTCTGAAGTAAGTGCTCTGAGTTCTAGGTACTTTATGCTGGGCAGCTTGTCAAGCTGCAGGTCCTTGCTAGAGACTTTCGTCCAAATGTTCTTGGAGCTCTGGTGCCTTGGGGCTTTACCATTTCCCAGGTAATATCTGTGCCTTTTCAGTGCCTGACCATACTCWGGGGGAAGAACCTTTTCCTAATATCTAACCTAAACCTCCCCTGTCACAAATCTTGGCCATTCCTTATGGTCTTGTCATTGGTGTCATAGAGCCAAAGTCAGAACTGCCCCTTCACTGCCCCTTGCRAATAAGTTGTAGACAGCCATCAACTCTGCCCTCACTCTCATCCAGGCTGAACAAAACAAGTGCCTTCACCTGCTCTTTGGTATATCCATTGTCGACACTTCACCATGTTCATGTCCTTCCTCTGAATGCTTTTGAACAGCTTTATATCTTTCTTATATTGTGGCTCCCAAAACTGACCAGGACTTGAGGTGAGRCTTCCCATTGAAAAACAGAGTGGGACAATCTGCTCCCTCACCCAGCTGTCAATGCTGGACTGTGGTTGGCCCTCCTGGCTGCCAGGGCACTGCTTACTCTTGTTCAATCRGCTGTYRGCTGGGAACCCCCAGKYCCCTTCCCATGGCACTKCTTTCTGGCATCTCATTCACCAGTCTGTCCATACATCCAAGGTTGCCTAGTCCCAGGTGCAAAATCCAGCATTTCCCTTTGTTAAACTCATATGGCTGGTAATAACAAAGGCTTTTGATCTGGACATAATTGCACCAAGCACTTACTGTCAGGAGGAAGACTTTTCATGGTTCACAGGCTAGTGATTTTGGAGAAATACATGAGTCACTCMAACAGAGAGAAATCATCATATCTCCTCCCCCTCAAAGGGCAGTTCTAGATTATTTGGAGGTTGGAGCTGCAGCAAACTGGCCCAGTTATGAGAGCATATGAAGCCAGCTTCAGGATCAAATGGATTTATCTCACGGCCTTCTTGGTGTAAAAGGTATGTGAGATTTAGGTTTCATGGGTTTTGATTTCATATATTTTTATTTTATTGAAACTGTTTTTTTAAGGTTGTGGCTTTGGCATGGGAAAATGAATAATAGATTCCTGTTTTCTAGACTGTTGCTTTGTAATCAGTGCTAAACCTCAGTGGGCTGTTTGAGTTGGGTTTCAGCAACTGCTGCTTTTGAGGGCTAGCAAGATGCTTACTCAGAGCAMGGACATTAAATTACTCTCATTTGAGAGCTGTTACTCTGGAAAAGAGAAAAAAAAAAGAAATACAACCTCACCCTGAAAAAGACTAAATCAGTATGGTACCCAATAGAAAGAAAGTCAGGTAACAGGCTGTTACCATATACTGAGAGCAATGTTCTGATTATGTTTATTCTGCCTGGCTGTTCTTGTTGGATTCCAGTTTCAGGAAATAGAGTCCATAGTTGAGCAATAGTGGCAAAAAAAAATATTTCCCCAGTGAACAGGCCAATGCTGATCCTTACAATCTTTGTAARTCTAAAGTTTCCACCTTTATAGAATCATACAATCAAAGATTCATAGAATCACACATAATGGTTTGGGTTGGAAGGGACTGTCAAAGATAATCTATCTGCATCCCCTTCCCATGGGCAAGATATATTTCATTAGATCCATTTATTTGAAGCACATCCAACCTGYCCTTGAATGCTTCCAGYGATGGAGTATCCACTGAGCAATAGTTTCCAATGTCTCATCACTCTCATCATAAAACATGTCTTCCTTATGTCCAATATGAGCCTAACCTCTTTTAGGTTAAAACCATTGCCACCTGTCACTGAAACCCTGGTAAAAAAATCTTTCTCCATTTTTCTCACAATCCATCTTTCAGTATTAAAATACTGCATTAAGATCTCCCTGGTGTGTTGTCATCACAAGCCTGAAAAACTACAACTGTTTCAACCTTTCTTTATAGAASAGGTGTTTCCTGCTCTCTGCCCATTTTTGTGGCTTCCTCTGGACCTCCTCTAACAGGTCCATGACTTTCTTGTGCTGGGGATCCCAGAGGCAGATGCAGTGYTCCAGGTGCACTCTCACAAGAGCAGAGATGATCATGTCTATCAACCAGCTGGCTGTGCTTCTGTTTCTGCAGCCCAGCATACAATTGCAAGTGCACCTGGTCAGCCCAAGTCCAATTTTTCACCCACTCTTATCCCCAAATCTTGGGTCAGTTTTTTCCCACTGGCTCTCAATACACAGAATTATAGAATCAGGGAATGAATTGGGTTGGCAAGATCCTCTTGTTCCAACATCCTGCCATGGGCAGGGACATCTTCTGCGGCCAGGTTGTTTCAAGCMGCATTCAACCTTTCAGGGATGGGGCAGCAACAGCTTCTCTGGGCAATCTGTTCCAGGGCCTCACCACCTTCACAGGGAAAAACCTTTTTCTRATATCTAATTAAACATACTCTCTGTCATTCCCCATTGTCCTGTCACTCCAGACCTTTAGTCTCTGAAGTAGTCTCTCTCCGTCTGTCTTGCAGACTCCCTTCAGATACGGGAAGGCCAGAACAATTGTAATTCTCTCAGCCTTTCTTCACAAGAGAGGTGCTCCCACCCTCTGATCAACTTGGTGACCTCCTGTGGACTCGCTCCAACAGTTCCATGTCCTTCCTGTGCTCCATCTTCCCACCYGCATTAATAGTGGGGGATTGTCCAGTTCAGGAGCATGACTTCTCACTTCATCTTGTTGAACTTGTTCACAGGATCCTATTTCTCAAGCCTGTCAAAGTTCCTTCAGGGTGGTGCTCTCTGCAAAATGCATCTTGCTGTCATCTGCAAACTTGTTGAGGGTGCACTCCATCGCACAGCTGTCAATGATGAAGGTGCTAAACAGTATTGGTCCCCATACAACCCCTCATCACCAGAGATTTCTATTTGGACATTGAGCCATTGTTTGTAGCTCTTTGGATGCAGCCATCCAGACAGGTCTTTATCCATCTAACTGTCCATCCATCAGACCTATGTCTCTCCAGTTTAGCAGACAGATTGTTGTGGGAGATCATATCTTTGGACAAACCTTAATGATTTCCACTGAAAATATTTGGATTAGGCTAGCTCAATGTTCTATAAACATAGATAAAATAATAGAGATAAAATAATAGCAAACTGAGAGGCAAAACTTTGAAAGGAAAGTCAACAAAGCTCTGCTTCCTCATTCCCTTCTCTGCTACACCTTGCAATCACTTCYGTTTATGGAGACAGGCAGAACAATTATTCCTCAACCATGCATGAGAAGGTGGTAAAGGGTGTGGACAAAGMAGGGGTGTGCTTAGAAAAATTCAGCAAAAGTCCTTCTCTTACCCACACCAGATAGAGGTGTCTCCAAGGAAATGTCATTGAGATGCCATGTCTGTTTTGATAAAGAACAGACATGATTGGGGTGGTTTCCCACAAACAGGTAAAACCACAAATTCTAGGACAAAGTTGAGCAGGTTGTGCTGCTGTGCGTATGAACTCAGGATCACTGGGGCTGGTGATAATCCCTGGTGTGCAGGGGACTAAAGCTAGCCAGGAGCAAATCAGCTCACCCTTGCCTTTCCCACATAGATATTGAGGAACTTGTATGCAGGCATTTTTATATAACTGCTGGAAAGACAGTATCGGGGAGTGGAGACAAGGCTGTGAAAGAATACTGGTGGAATCATTGTCATGGGACAGCTGAGGACAACTTTAGAGGAGAGGAAATACTACAGGTTGGTATTGGCCTGTGATGCCTTCCAACGGCATGCAATGGGATCCATTTATTGCCCCATGCCATGCTTCTGCATCAGCACAGCCCAAGAGAAATGAGTTCCCCACTATCCCTTGTATTGGATGTTGTTTTGCARACAGATAAAGGAAACCTACAATGAGTGCCAGAGAACCTCTGGGGCGGGTGTTTACACTGATCTCTCWCGTCTGATCTTTCCTCATTTCTTCTGCTCTCTCAGGCATTCTCCAAAATGACAAGCAACAGCAGCAGGGAGGAGCGTATGAAGCCAGGACTGCTGAAGATGCACAAGCTGTGGGTCATGTTGCTGGCTGTAGCTGCAGTCTCACTTGCCTTCATGTGCTTTCTGATGCTGAATGACAGGTAATGGAGGGGCAGGGGAGAGCAACTGTGTCCCCTCAGTGCTGGAAAGGAAGTGGGAAGATGGTGGATCTCTCCAGGCAGCCTCCAGGGGACGAATCAATAGGGTAGGAATGGAGATAATGTAGGAAAAGGATGCAGTTATGCTTGTCACAGATGCAGTTATGCTTGTCACAGATGAGTGTCTCAGGGTTGGTGTGGCTGCAGGCAATGCCATGAGATGACCAAGGCGAGGCTGGGGTACAGGATGGTTGGAGTGGAGGGATAGAGGAAAGCTGTGTGAGGACATGGTATTCTGACTGACTTTTACACTTTGGGCTTTCTTTCACAGACCTGATATCAATATTCCAGAAGCAGAAGCATGTCAAGGACTGTTGAGCAACATAACACAACCTCAGAAGTGAGAGTCATGGCCACAAGTGTGTTGGGCAGTGGTAAACAGACAATTGGCTAAACAGGGTCACTCAGTAGCCTCAGTGAAGGCTCAGGGTGTAGGAAGGGATGCAACAGAGTMGTTTGTTTGTAATTCTTTATGGGAGTGTTAAAGTTGCTTTCTTACAAGCTCTTTCTGCTCTAGGGTGAATGAGATTTGGAGCTTGARGCACCTGAGTCTAATGCAGAGCTGCCACTGGAAGTTCAACGCTACTGCCTTGGCCAAATACAGGTGATGCCCACCAGCCACAGGGAAAAAATACTCAGTTCACTTACTTCCAATAAAATCATGACCMAAGTGGTTTATTAATTTATTGATGTCACATGCTTAACCCACAATAGGATCAAGTATCAGTAACAAAGCMGATAAACCAAAATGTTAAGATACTTACAAAATTGGCAATTTACAACTACAAATTTCTAAACATCCTTCTACAAATAAGCCCAAGAAATTCTAGTCAAACACAGCCATCCACAGTGTAATGGGTTTATGGGGGGAGGGACGAGGGCATGCATGGGCACACAAGAGTGAAGCTGAGGTTGAAGCAGGCAGGAAAGGTTTTAGAGTAGTGACTAGGTTAGACAGATAGAAAATGGTCTGGAAATGTGTGCAGATGAGGAAGAAGAATTTGAAGGATGTGTGGAGATGGATGAACAGAGGAAGCCTGACAGAAGTTGTTCTGATTTGATGCAATGCCTGCTTTGTGTTCCCTGTACCTTCCCAAACTCTCTTTCACTTTGCACAGTAATATTTGCTCACCTAATCCTCAAYGCCTGCTTCTATTTGCCTAGCCTGTTCTGATTCTCCCTTCTCTCTCCTTTTTTATGCTGCAACTGTCCCCCTTCATTTTGCCCCCAGACCTCTGCTCACTGTCTTCTGCTTTCTCCCCCTTACAGGGCAGAACTGGGGCACTGCTGCAATGCCTCAGCCTGGCTAGCTGTGACMCAAGAAAACACACCCTTGGGGTCCAAGCTGGTCTATGATGCTGGTCGCTCCAAAAGCTTGCAAGTAAGCAGTGGCTTGCTGGAGATCCTGCCAGAGGTAAGAGTGCCCTTTGGTGGGGTCTATAACTCACAGACTGCATGCTTTTCTCTCATACACCTGTGGAGTGTGTCCAGTTGGAGGATATGTGGTAGGTCTTTACTGTAATTCTCTAATGATGAGTGAATTTCTGCCTAATGTTCTTTATAGAAATCCCCCTTTCAGGACCCTCTCTACAAAACCTGTGCTGTGGTGGGAAATGGAGGAATCCTCAGGAACAGCAGCTGTGGCTCTAAAATTGATAAGCACCAGTTTGTAATCAGGTAATTGCCACCAGCCTGTCCAGGAGAGACCAGCTGGAGGAAGGGGCTTTCATGAGAATAGGGTGAAGGTAGAGAAAATGGACACAGAGGAAAAGTTCTGAGCAGGTTTTAATATGAGGGGCTGGGGAAATGGTGGGTACTACAGAGGGACAGCTAAGATGTCAGGATACCATGAAGCATTCTTTCTCATTTCATTCCTTTGCTTATCACCTCAATCAGGTTTAACCTGCCTTCTATGGACTTCCCTGATGATGTGGGCAGAAAGTCAAGCATTGTCACTGTGAATCCCAGTATCCTTCAAACAAGGTAACAAGTGTGGTCATGAAAGCAGCGGAAAGTACTCCTGRTTTTCTTTTCTCCTGTATACTGTTTTCCTAAAGAGGCAATCTCTCTTAACTCTGCTCTGGGTCTTACCATGTAAAGCCTGTCCAAAACAAACCTGTCAATATCTACTGATTCTCCCCTCTGTGCAAAGGTATACAAAGGAGTATTGCAAGACTTGGAGTTGTTTGAAGCAGTTTGGTCAAAACTTAGTTTCTGTTTATTATTTTATCGTAGTACTACAGATTAATAGACTTTCGAGTCATTCCAGTGAGTTGATCCTCTCTAGGGTGGTATCAAGAGAAGCAGAGAGTCTTTCAGCTGCTGCTGTCAGGAGAATCTCTGATGGAAGCTATTTAATCTCTGTGCTCCTTGCTGCATAAATGCTCTTTATGGTCAATGGAGAAAATAGATACTCCTTGTCCTACAGCAAACACCTGAGACTGATCAGATGTGATCCAGTTTTACTTTCTTTGCAGTGACTACAAAAGATGTTTAGACAGTTACTTCAGATGTAGACGTCTGTGTGCTAGATCTATAAAGGCAGACGGCATCCACTTTCTCCCAGCCCTCTGTTCTACCAGTATGGCACATCATTCTCCACAACTTTTTATCTATGGAGCCACAAAACTTTTAAATTTGAATAGATCCTCAGAGCCTTTTAACCAACTGCTCACTAGCAAACCTGCTGGATATTCTGAAGCATCTCCTCTGGTCTGTGTTAGGTGCACCTGAGGATCTCTAGCCCAGATCACACAGAAGGCGCAGAGTAAGAAAAAATAGAGGTGAAGCATACAACTGGTATTTCACTGCTTTGGTTATTTTCAAATAACATAMGAAGGACAGGAAGCAATGAGGATGGTGCTGTAACAGGTTGATCTCTTACCTCACAGGTTTCGTGGTCTGAATGGTCGACGTCTGCCATTTGTGAAGGCAGCAAATTCCTATGGAAAGACTTGGTTTCTCATCCCAGCTTTCTCCTTCCCTGGCAATAATGAGGCTTCTTACCGAGCACTCTATGCCTTACAGGACTCTGGCTCCCAGTCACACGTGCTCTTCTTCCACCCTCAGTACCTGAGTGCACTAAGCAAGTACTGGCATGATCGTGGTTTTTACACCCGTCGCCTATCCTCAGGTTTCATGCTGGTGAATGCTGCCCTGGAGTTGTGCCAATACATTACACTCTATGGATTCTGGCCCTTCTCTTTGCATCCAGATGGCCATTCCCTGCCCCATCATTACTATGACAATGTGCCTCCCAACCGGTGGTTGCACATCATGCCCAAAGAGTTCGCTTACTACGTGGATATGCACTTCCATGGKGTGCTACAGCTGCACGTGGGGCGCTGCTGAAGGCTCAAGACAAAGAGGGTCTAAAGAACAAAGGGTTTTAAACTGTCAGAGGKCAGAGTTAGATGGGATATTAGAAAGAAGGTGAAGATGGTGAGGCCCTGGCACATGATGTCTAGAGAAGCTGTGGCTCCCCCATCCCTGGAAGTATTCAAGGCCAGATTGACCAGGGCTTGGAGCAACCTGGTCTAGCAGAAGATGTCCCTGTCCATGGCAGGGGGGTTGGAACTGGATGATCCTTAAGGTCCCTTCCAGCACAAGTGATTCTGTGATTCTGTGATTCTGTGATTCTATGATTCTATGAATAAGGTTTCTGCTGTTGTTATGATCCATTTCGGGATCTTCTGATAGAATCACAGACCTAGATGCAAACCTAGAGACTCCAAGGATCAAAAGTAGGTCTCCTTCTCTTTTACACACTGTTCCATTCAGCAAGTAGCACTGGCATCAGATAATTCTAATATTAATTAATGGGGAGTCACTAATTGTTATCTGTTAGTGGCTAAAGATTAATGAAATTGTTAATAAATAATTTCCTTTCTTGCCAACCATGTGAATTTATTAACTTCATTTCAGAATTTGAGCACCCCATCTCAAAAGCTTTTATTTTTCAACGCCACTTGTCAATAAACAATAAAAAACTTGCCATATTTTTATTATACTTTGTTGGTCTCTGTTTTCTTTAATCAGACTCATTTATCAGAATCATTTAGATTCTTTTATTAAGTTATTTTATCAGCATTAGTCATAAAGCATTCAGGTCTTCCCTAATCCTCATAGCTATGCAGTTAATCTTCAATTTGTGCTTTTGACAATCAGAATCAATCTGTCAGTCCTCAYGGTCTGGTGGATTGCCAGCTGGGTGCTGACAGGTGTGGACTGCAGGCTGGAGGTTCTTGTAACACAGAGCAGCATCTCTTCCCCCAGCACATGAATGAATGAACAGCAAATCTCTCCAACATTCCAGCTGATTTAGACAGTCGTTACATATTAGAGATATAAATGCTTCTCCACATTTGAGGAGCAGCCAGTGTAGATTTACAGAGGGGAAAATCGTACCTCTTGCAGCTAATTGACTTCTATGAGGASGTGACAGCCTTGGTGGATGAGGGGAGCAAGGTGGATATTATTTTTGCCTGCAGGACGGATGTCAGTGTCATGTCCCACGACATCTCCACCAGTGAGCTGATGAAGCTCTGTGACCAGTGGACARTCAGGTGGAGTGGACACTCTCAGAATGGCCAGGCTTCCAACAATGTGAGCAGTTACATCAAGTTGTGCTGCAGGCCACGCACCAGTCAGCAGTGTTGTACTGAATACCAAGGTCAGCACTATTAAACATCTTCATGAATAATCTCCATGATCAGATTGGGTGCAGCCACAGCAAGTTTGCAGATGATACACAAGTGGAAGGATTTGTTGATACAGTGCTGTGGTGAGTTGACCTTGACTAGATGCCAGAGGCTGAGAGGAACCTCATAAAATTCAACCATGGAAAATGTGAAGCACTGCACCTACRGAGATAAGATTTTTGAGACGATAACAACTAATAGCTGAACGATGCCAGAGAAAACACACTGGCTTGAAGATCTATAAAATTTTAAGATAAAAGGGTGAAGAAAGTAGGAATATTTCTCTCCACATGAGCTGGAGGCTGACCTTTCTCCATCTGACTGATGAAGATTTTGTCCGTCTTAACTGGAGCAATGAGAGTATCATTGCTTGGCCTTATTGCTCTTTGCTGTCCAGTGAGTACAAGAGCCAAGAAATTTCTATGTACACATCCACATCCTACCTGCAACATCTGTTAATCCACAATAAAATTCAGCCAAACTGTGATCTTGAAGAAAATTATAATGGAACAACCCCGTAACAGACATGATTGAGTCCTGATTGTTATGCTTATGAGAGGGACAAAGGGAAGGAAGTGTGGGAAAAACTGTTATGGAAACACTGAATCCCATCATTTAGAAAGGACATCCACAGTTCTCTAGTGAAATCTCCTGCCTGGAGAAAGAAAATGGATTGYCAGTAGGCAGATCATTTAGAATTGCCTTCCAGTCCCCACCAATATTGCTGCATTAGGTTGCAGCTATTTTGAACACTCATTGGATTCTCCAAAGAATGGATAGCAGGCATTTTCTACTCTGCATTGCACACATGCTTAGTGCACACAGGTATGTGCTGTCTACTGATATTATTATTAATATCAGTAGACAAGTAGAAAGCCTCTCAGGTGACCACTTACTGAGAAAARGGAAAGAGCAGCAGCAGGGTCCTGAATTATTTCACTGTCAAATGAGAGTGGAATCAGCACTGCTGTCATCCAAGGGGCTTATTTCATGGTGGAAGRTTACAAGCCACATAGGATAAGATGGAATTCATTCTTCAGTTTTCACAGTGCATTTGTTAATTATTCTTTCTGTATTTGATACCTTCAAGCACGCTGCAACAGGATCAGATTTCTTTGGCTTGTACCTCATTATCTTGGTGATCAGAACATGTAGTTAAGGCGGAACAAGGAACCTCAGACATGCCAATGCAAGCACTACCATCAGCTGTCTGGGCAGGAGCAGAATTTGTTATTTTGACTCCTTGGCTTTACCTTGAGAATTTATGCAGCCATGAACTTGCCAGACTATCCCTGCCCATCCTAAAATATCCTCCCCTGAGCAAACCCCCTGAAAAGGACCACTCTGTCCTGCCAAAAACAAGTTTGGGTCAAGCATCAGGTTCCCCTATGTCCCATGCCTCCCTCTGGCCTTCTTCTTCCCCTTTCTTTTGGGAGTGGAAAATACTTTTTTCTCATTTTCATATGCCATTTTCTAGCAATAAAACCAGAAAACTCTTAAGCTTTGCAGAGAGTAAGGACCTCTATTATTTCACTTATTGACCTGGAAATGAAATGTGAAGTGAGTGATTGCCTTTTTCAGTCAGGAGTATTTTGTAAAATATGGATGATAGGAGAACTGGAGAACAGACATGCCATATGCCCTAAGACACCAACTCTCAACATGTCCATCTCCTGCTCACGTGTCAGTCCTGCTAGAGGCTGAAAGCTTGCTTTGTACAAGAGCCCGGACCTGGCGATGGTTGTACACACACTGCATGCCACCTTCTTCTCACCCAAGCTGTGCTGCTGAAGGAAACTGCTCATCTCCTGAAGCCAAGTGCTCCATCAGAGTCTCTGTCTCCTAGAGACAGAACTTCACAGAATCATGGAATCACAAAATGGTTTGGGTTTGAAGGAATTTTACAGACCATCCTGTTCTAACTCCCTGCCATATGCAAGGACATTTCCCACTAGACCAGGTTGCTCTGAGTCCCATCCAAGCTAGCCTTGAACACTTCATCTTAAGAAAGTAGGAAGAGTATGGGGCACCTTCCACTGTGTATTCATAATTCACAAAGACAGAAACCTGTAAACCCTGTAAACAATGAGACAWGCAAAAATATCACCTTCAGTTCATTGTCAGCTGCAAGTGCTGGTTCAGCTTGTCCTGATGTTTCTTTTTCTGCCTTCCCAGTTACAGCAGAATGAAAGACAAAACAGTTAAAAGAAAACAGAAAAAAAAATACATCTTATTGTAGGTTTCTTTTTTCATGTCCTTTGTTCAAGAGGAAAGTTGGAAATTAATTCACTTCCTCTGGTTTCTCACAAAGAGCTGTAGCTGCATAGAACAAACATGCCAACAGAACCTAAGAAAGAATAGAGGAAGGAAAGCAAGAATAATTCAATGCATGTCAAGGTAGCCCTGCCTAGCAAGCTCTTTTGAACAGCCACCCAATTTTCTAGAAATATTTTAACCTAATTGAAGGCCATATCTTCTCTGTCTGAAGAGTATCATGACCCTGCAATGGTGGCTGCTATTTCRGGTAACACTCATTGTTTTGTGTAGGATTTGATCTGACTACACAAGAATGTGGGATGAGGATGGAGAAAGGTGAAATCATGTATTCACCTGTGAAACTGAGTGGAAGTTATGAAATGGACATGGAGATGTTATGAAATAGACAGGAATTCATCCTTATGTCACACATGAATGTAGTCGGATATGATTCTATTGCTGAGCTTGAATCACAGATATTTGGATTTTTTTACTCTTCCCTTTTCTCTCTGCATCTATAGACATGTTCATTTAGCTCCTCCTATCACTTTTGTTTCATTCCTTATAAACTTCTGACATCCTGCAGCTGGATCTTTGGGGTGGGTAGAAATTCTCTACAGCAGCTGGATCTTTCCTAGCTTTGTTTTATTTCTACACCAGGACTGAAGAGCTGGATTCAAGCCTAAGGGGGATTTTCAATATTTTTCATATTCCCTAAAGAGAAAAGAGCCAGTCTCCAACCCTTGTAACAGCATTCCCTGTTGCTCTGGCTCCCAGAGAACCTCTTGGTGCTGGTGTAGTGGAGCAATGAGAATGTTTGTGCTTGCTTCTGAGAGAAACTCAGGTCAGCCTGCAATGTGGGTAATGAGCAAAGAGTCAGGGAGCTCTCTGAAGGTSTTACAGCTCTGAGGTGTCTCCCATTTATCAGTGCTGTTAGTGGAGTGACCTCCTGCACACCCACAATATATGGGGGGTGTATGATTCTCTTACAGCCGCATTTTGCTCAGGGTTTCTGGTACARGCTGAGCAGTACAAAAAAGGAAATRTGGTTTCCTCCCCCACCCAGGGCAGCMGTGACACATGCACCCAACTCCCCCATATATTAAGTACCTGCAGTTATAAAGGCTTTACTCAGGAAAGGTTGCAAATCACTTGGGAGTTGCAAGGAATCCTGAGCCTTCAGCACTGGAAGACATTTCTCTGCTGACTCAGAGAGAGGAAAGTCTGAGCATTTCCCACCCCACAATTTTACTTTCCTATTTCTCAGTGCAYCATGCAATTTCCTCTGGAGAAGCCTGCAATGCTCCTCTGGATGCTAGTCATCACTTTTTCTACAGCACTTAAAGGTGAGAGCTCTCCCTTTCCTGGAAACAGGACACMGATTGGGGGAAGGGGGCGGGGGGTGGAAAGTGATTTCCCCTGTCTGGAATCTGTATAATTTCCAAGCTACTTTGTCCTTTCCAGCCTTCCCATGGGATGTGTGAAGGTTGGAGGACTGATAAAAGGCTAGAGGTCTAATACAGCYCTGCTGTACCCTACTGCCACATAAAGAAGTGGTATCCACCATGTTCCTGGCACTGCTATGGGGTGCGTGACGGGACCAGAAGGGTCAAGGGCTCTGTCTGCTCAATYCTTGACTCCCAGGAGAGGCAAGACCTGAGTTCTCCTCCTCTCTGCATCCCTTTGGGGCTTATTTTCTCCTCTCCCTGCCCCAAAACGGAAGGACATGATCCCAAAGAAGATGGGTTCTTGTTGTCCATAGCATGACAGCTGGGAGGTGAAAGCCATGAGAGAAGGACAGAGATAATGGGACTGAGAAGGCTTCTGCTGCCCCTGCCCACTTGGTCCACAACCACTCAACTCAAAATGCCACCACATAAGATGAATCCATCATCCCTCTTCAGGTGGAGCGGAACGCTGATGCACTGCAGATGAGGGAAGTTTTCAGTGATGTTTCTGAGCATGGACTAAGGGGAAGACATGCTTAGACAAAGCTGATAAATGCTCCTAGAAGTTGCAYAGTCTCAYTCTGAGCAGACTTMTTRTTTTCTAGGAGCAGACYTGGSAAGGTTTAAGAGCCCCAAGTGAAGKTTAAAAGGTTTCTTGTCCCTCTGGTGCTCATATGCAACTGACAAACCAATTCCCCATGTGCCCATGCCCAGCCTGTTCTTGTCACCCTCTATGCATGTAGAAACACAGCCGGTGAAAGGGCTGGGAAAGGCTGGCTCCTCCATACTGTCCTCCTGCTAAGCTTCTGGATTCATATATAGAGATACAGCATCTTAACCAGCAGTTACACAAGTATCTTACCTAAGCAGTCCTTTGTTCTGTGTTTGTGTGCTCACAACCCCAGGATGRACTATTACACCCATGAGCCTTCTCAGAGACACTCAAATCTAACACCTGCCCTATTTCTTTTCAGCTACCCTTTCCCCCATAGAGATGGTGGCATCTGGTCCTAGGGAGGCAAAGGTCTCCAGCTCATTCTCCCTCACTTGTACTGTRATGGGAACACCTCTGGATAGCCCTCGATATGACTGGAATTGTGTTCGYCAGACCCCAGGAGGGCAGCTGCAATTTGTAGGCTGGATATATCCTTTTGGGAATAACACAGGCTATGCTCCAGCCTTCCAAGACCGAGTCACCTTTTCTGCAGACAAACGCAAAAGCAAGGTCTCCCTGCAGCTGCATGGYCTTACAGCCTTGGACACAGCCATCTATTATTGTGCCAGGCAGCATGCACAGTGATGCCAACGCAGGGAGAGGAAGCACAAAAAGGGGAASGACTGTGGTGGTGACAGGGTCTTTTCTCAAAATGACAGCTGCCTGGACTTGCTCTGAGARATGTCAGTGAGCTCTGGGATTGATAGATGTTGGAATTCCTTATCTGTCCATCAGTAACTGAATTTGCAGTAAAATTTGACATTTATAATAGAAGTTAGATATAAAATTTCATGCATGAGTAGTCACATGGGCAGATCATTCCCCAGTTCCTCAGATAACACAGATACTTCGCTTTCATTCACAGACTTCCCCACCGTCACCACCTCTTTTTTATTACTACCCTGGGTACTCTTTCAGTCCCAGGAGAATGGGGACAGAGGGACCATCCCAGAGCATCTCTCTGGGCAGGGATGCTGTTTGGGCCAGTGTGAGAGCTGTGGCAGAACACATGACTCCTTCTCTGTGTAGCCCAAATCTGCCCCAGATGCCTGCACAGCATCCTCCTGAAAAGAAGGGGGTTGTAACCTTGGAGGATTTGTACCCACAACACAACTCTGGGCATGGGGAGAATGAATGGATGTTTTGTTCATGTTTGACCTAAGGAAGAGAAGATATAGATGGGGGGAACTCATAAATATATAAATATCTGAAGGGTGATCTGAAGAGGGTAAATATAGAGGACAGAGCCAGGCTCTTTCACAGGATGTCTAATGTCAGGACAAGAGGCAATAGGCACAAATGAAAACACAGAGGGCTCCCTCTGAGTTGAAGGGAACTCTTTTTTTGCTATGAGAGCAACCCAATCCTGGAAGCAGGTTGCACAGAGAGCTTGTGGAATCTCCCTTCTTAGAGATAAGAGACATGGTCCTTGGCAGTTGTCACTACTGGCACTGTTTGAGCAGGAGAGTTGAAGCCAATGGCTTCCAGAAATCCCTTTCARCCTCAGCCATTCTCTGATTCTTTAATTCTAAGCTGTCTGTTACAGTTTCCAGTTTAGGTATACACACAGTTATCATTCAGTCCAACTGCCTGACCACTTCAGGGTTGACCAGAAGTTAAAATATATTGTTWAGGGCATTGTCCAGATGCCTCWTCATCACTGACAGGCTCAGGGTATCCTCCTCCTCTGTGGGGATCCTGTACCAGAGTTTAACCACCCTTCAAGTAAAGCAATGTTTCCTAATGTCAAGTCTGAATTTCACTTCATGCAGCTTTGAGCCCTTCCCACATGTCCTATCACTGAATYCCTGAAAGAAAAGCTCAACACCTCCTCTCCAATACCCTGCTCAGGAAGCTGTAGAGAGCAATGAGGTCACTGCTCCTTCTACTATTCTCCAATCTAGACAAAACCAGAATTCTCAGATGCTCCTTATGAGATGGACATGCCTTCCAGCACCTTCACTAGCTTTGTTGCCCTCCTCTGGACACGTTGAAGTACATTAGCATCCTTTTTTAAACGTGGAGCCCAGAACTGCACATAATGCTCAAGCTGAGGCAATACCTATGATCATGTCTTTTTTCCATCTGGATCCACTGCATTAGATACACCCAGGAAAGTGTKTGTCCTCCTRYCTGTCAAGGCAYTGGGCCAGCTCACATTAAGCYTGCTGTCAACCAAATTTCTTTAGTRTAAATGTATTTATGAAAGCTGTATGTTAACAAAGAAACAGAAATGTTTTTCCAAGGTGCCCAGGTGTAGAAAGGTGTGTCAGTGTAGAAAGATTTGCTCTCTGAAGGGTTTGGGGCATTTCTGGTGGTTTTAGATCTTTTCTCCTGGTTGATTATCCCTCCTCCTTGCTCTCAGATGCCTGTCAACCTTGTAGCATTGGTCCACTTTTCCTGTCAGCCTTGAAGCATTTGTCCCTATGTCCTAACAACTTTGTAGCATTTGTGTTTTGTGGGAGAAAGTTTCAAAGTCTCCCACCCCAAAGAGTTTTGTTGTTACTTAGTAACTGTCCCGTTATAAACTGGACTTGGGACATAATTGTCCTTGGATTAACTAACATCCTGCTAAGATTCTAGTAACATGTTAAAWAGGCTAATAAACATTAATAACCCATAATAAACCCATTATTACACAAGCAAAATCAAACTCAAGTCCTACTATTTAATGTTACTATTGATGCACAAGTCTATTGCTTTAAAAATTGTATGACTCACACATAAGCCCTACTAAATTGCAATTCTATTGTCTTTTCCTCTGACACGTTAAGATRAAAGAAATCTCTTGCTCCTTACAAGTTGGATAKTAGGAAAAGTCTGTTCCCCCAKAGGGTGGTTGGGCACTGGAACTGTTTCCCAGGGAATGGTCACAACCCCAAGGCTGCCACAGCTCCAGGAATGTTTGAACAACACTCTCAGCACAAGGTAAGATTGTTGGGGTATTCTGTGCAGAGTCAGGAACTGGACTGGATGATCTTTGTGAATCCCTTCCCACTCTGCATATTCTGCAGTTCTGGGATTCTGTGAAAATAACCTGACATTTAATGTRTCTGGTTCTTGACATTCTTAGGAAAATATCCTCCCTTAAATCTCTAGAAGTATATTAAAAATATATATGGACTCAAGTAATTTGATTTAAAAGGGCTGTTACAATCCAAATTGACCCATATTCAGTGTTACCAAGTATGTTTCAGAAAGACTTGCATTATTACCTTTATCTATCATAAAGATGATATTAAAGATTTTTAATAACAGCAATTGCTGTGTGGTTTGATTTTCCAGGAACAAAATGGCTGAGGAAGTAAAAAACACAGCATTCAAAAGACATCAAAGAAGAGGTGTCAGCTGACACTGAAATGAGAAGATATTTTTGTATGACTGTTCATCACTGTGTGGATTAGGTGCCACAGTGGTTAAAGGGGGCTGAACCACCCGACACAAACTGACTTCTGGAAAAGCCTTCAGCTGCAACACACTTTTCCTCCTCACAACATCATTTTCCCTCATTCAGCTGCACAATCCTGAAGCACATCCTGAAGCACAATCTGGTGCTGATTGGGATTCAAGCCATGGGATAATCATTATATGCCATGTCAGTTTTTTTCTGGCACTCAAATACAGATTTTGCTTTCCAGATAACTTGATTTTGAACCTTTAATTATCAAATCCAGTTCTGCAGATTCATGTTTTTACTTTTGACASTTTGGAAGTATTCATCTAAGTTACATATTGCGTCCATCTCCCTTTTATTTCAGAGAAACAAGTGGCTCTAAAGAAATTTGTCACTTCTCAATACAGATAAAATGACTTAGTCCATTACACTTGGTGCATGACTCTCTTCAAAACATTCAGCTGACTCTCTCAAATGTGCCCCTGGGAGGTAAGTAAAAAGACTCTAACTCAATGTGGCACATCCAGCTTTTCCTGTCCAGCCACACAGATCGTGATCCTTCACTCTGCTACTGAGCATCATCATTGAAATGGAACCCTCTATCTTCCTCTCAGCTTACAGCAAACAATGCCCCTCCATCCATGATCTCAGTCCAGTGTAAAAAGTCTCCCACCCTTCCTGCCTTTTCCACATCTGTTTCTCCTTCAGATCAGCARTTCAAGAAATCCTGCATTAATCCCCTCTTGAACCACATGATCAATGTTTTTCTCCATGACCCAGATTATGATCTTTTCTTTGCCCACAAAAATTGCAGTTTCTTCCCACTCATTATATCCTTAGGGACCATTACAAAGAATATTGTTTGAGTTTCTGACAGTACCAACAGCATCACAATCATAGCAAATCTTGGTTCATGCATTCATTCTTAAACAACTTCATGGGCTACAGACTGCTATGGGAGGTGGGACCTGCAGAATTTCCAATTTTGCTAAACTCTAAGAAAGGCCTTAGCTCTTGCCTAGAGTCACACAGGCAACTCAGAGCTTCAGGGAAGAGAGCAGGACCTCTCCATTCTGGGGCCTTTTCTGTGGTGGCCACCTTATTCTATGGTGCTCTCCCACCTCCTTTTTGATGTATGTTTTTTAACTCTCACAGCCAGCTTGCAACACACAATAAAGGATCAGATGAGTGGTTTTGCACCCTTTCCCCTTGCTGACCCTTCCTCTTGAGAAGATCAATACTATACTAGTTAAAGATTGCCTTRTAGTCTCCTGACAGAAGTAATCTTTTTCAGGATGCTAATAAATGTCTCTTCTTTCCTACCCCTCTCCACCTTGACAGCAATTAGGGATCAGTATTAAATCATATTTCCTTAGTACATCACCTCTAACTAAGTCTTATTTTCCCTATAAAGCTGTTAACATGAGGTTAGCTTAGAGTTGCTGCCTCAGGGTAAGAGAACCACAGCATATCCATTTTCTAGGATTGCTCTGCTTAATCACTGCCTGGGGTGGGGGAGAAGGTACTCRTACACCTTTCCTATTGCAAATGCCAAGTGATTCATTTTTCATTTAAAGGTATTTTGCATGTATCGTGGCTGTGTTTATATCCTTGCTGTCAGCCTAAAAAAGAACAACAATCTCTTTTTCACTTTTAAAAATACCAAAACCATTATAAACACTTCCTGAACCAGAAAATTACTCTCAGCTCTTGGCCCATCAAGGAAGATGATAGTTCTAAAACCCTAGATTGAGTGTATACAGCATCTTCAAAGAACAGTCAGGCAGGATTTCCTGACAGTTCTAAAACCCTAGATTGAGTGTATACAGCATCTTCAAAGAACAGTCAGGCAGGATTTCCCCACCACAGCTTCCCTGCTCTTACTGAAGTGGCAGCTGCTTTGCTGTCCAGCCTACACATGAGGGATGTACTCAAACAAAATTTATCTTTACCTGCATATTGTGCTCCACACAACTCTTCAGTTTCCCGTGCCACTAAGGATGCAGAATTTACCCTTTATACAGTATTTAATCAATCTGTTTTGCACCATCCAGAGCAAAATTTTTGTTTAATAASTCCTCCTATGGAAAAATGTATCTTTACCTAATAAAGAGCAATAATCTCTTTTTCACTTTTAAAAATACCAAAAACATTATAAAGACTTCCTGAACCAAAAATTTACTCTCAGCACTGGCCCATGAAGAAAGATGACMGTTCTAAAGCCCTACATTGAGTGTATTCATTTCCTTCCTGATCAACAATAAGCAGAGCATAGAGAAAAAAAAACAATATCAGAAAAGAACATGTCTGTAGCCCTGAGGCATTTTGCTAATTATTGTAAGATAATACTCAGATTTTTTTTTTCATTAGACTAAAATATGAGCTTTTGGAGAGCAACATTATAATCCTTCATCATAACCTTAAAAATCCTGAGGAGGTTTAAAGTTTCTCCTTTTTTCTCCTTTTTCTCTCCTTTTTTTCCAGCTTTAGATTCTTATTTTAAAGTCTGTGTGATTTCTTATGTTGTATCTATGGCATATGGCTCCATGTCTCACATGAATTGTTGTACAGGAAAAGGGAAGGAAGCAGCACTTTTTGTAACTAAGTATATCACTGTGTTGAGAACTTGGAGTAGCACAGTGACACAAACACAGTGTGGTCTCATTCAAAAACCTAAAACTGCCAAAGGAACAGTTCATTTTGAGGAAGAGTGGGAAAGAAAAATTTATTGAAGAAAAGAACTGCTGAATTCCTAGGAGTACTTACTTTGGACTACACTGCTTACTGAGAGAAAAGAAGAAGAGGGTTTTGGAAGTTTTTTTCCCTGATCAAGTTGTTTAAAATCACAATGAAATTAATGTTTTGTGCCCTCATGATTTTTGTTACTTTGGAGCAATTCATGGCAGTTTTTATGTGGACCTTTTGGACAAWCTCGGGCAGTTTATTCTCTGGTGTTTTGCATCATTAGAGTACACCGTGGAAGATGGGTTTATTGACTATGTGCCAACACCGTGGCAACAGACAAGCTYGTATTTGGAACTGGAGCCACTCTTTCAATTGAGCCAAGTAAGTTCCACTTGTCTTACTAATAAYGTATTTTCTAAAGTTTGTGGTGAARTAGCAAAGGGACTCTGYGAYGTRACAGCATAATGAGACATTTCTCCTGCCTCGGATCTCTTCAACATGTATTCTCCAGCTACATGTTTGAGTTCAGCTCTATTTAGTTTGAAAAGGTTTCAGGAAAAAGCTAAYTTCCTAGAACAAATACACCAGCATYACYTCAGAGATTCTCCCMCAGCCAGTATGCTAAATTTTGTTATTGATACCCAGTGAGGATTAGGTCTTAAGCCCAGCTTCAATGTGCAGTRTAAGAAGGTGCTTGCTTTCTTTTGTGTAACACTAATTGTGTGGAAAGTTAAAAATGAACTGTAAAGAGTTTCAGGAGAAAGTAGTTCTCATGGAAAAACAGGGTATATTAGTGTTTTTTGGCAGCAACTGTTTGAAATGCAAGCAAGCCTTGAATACTTAGAAATTCTCTGGGACATGGTCTTTGTAAGGATGAACTCCTATTAGACATCCTACTGTTGTCCTTTAGGATGGCTCAGCATGATGGTCTCATAACTTGGAGWCTTCTCCAGAGTTCACATAACACTGTTCTCTTGTCAAGAGAGGCTTATTTGCCTGGATTAAGGTCCACACAGAAMTATTATGGAAACTTTCAAAGAATGGAATTTGGAAAGATAACCTCCTGGAACAGAATTAATGTTCATTTGTTAATGAAAGATTTWACCTCATGTTAGAATTTAGCAACATTATTTTGTATCTTCAAGTAATTCCACTCATTGGAACAGTATTGCAGAGTGGAGCAACAAACCATCTTCCTGTGTGCTATGGTTAAGCCTTTTAGCTATATAAGGTAAAGGATTTTTGGGTAAATAAAAAACTAAAAAACTCATAATATGTATCATGTTACAAGCATATAAGGCTACTCTTTGAGTAAATAGTCCATATTGTTTTGAATTAAAAATTTATATGAGAATCTCGTTTGATTCCTAAAAGTTTCCTTCTCATTTCAAGGTTCCTCAGTTAAAGGTTTTTTTATATTTATATCTATATCTATATCTCTGTCTCTGTCTCTATCTCTATATCTCTATCTCTATCTCTATCTCTATCTCTATCTCTATCTCTATCTCTATCTCTATCTCTATCTCTATCTCATCTCTATCTCTATATCTCTATGTATGTACATATATCGGGTCTAGTAAAAACAAGGTTAGGAGCCCAAGGGATTAAAATCTCCCTTGAAAATCCCACCCTTTTCCTTCATTTCTGTTTTTGATCTGTGGTTTATGTGTTTCTATGGTAAACAGGAGAAAGAAATAAACATGGAAATTCACTCAGATGTCAGGGGCAGATGTGTCTGGACTGTATCTGAACTACAGATGATTTAGCTGACAGAAAAATAATTATAACAAAACAATGTTTCTTTTTCAGAGAGTCAAGAAGAGTCTGCCCCAGAGCTCATTGTGGTCAAATCAGAGGAGCCTAARCAAGACAAAAAACTGAACATGGCTTGTTTGGCAAGGACCTTCTATCCTAAGAACATCAGCCTTTCTGTGCCCATGAGTGATGTTTTGTATGACCTGAAGGCACCTCTTGTCACATCTGAGGGGGTGTACAGTACCATGAAGGTTGTTGGTGTGGAGCAAGGTGCAGACAGGACCTGCAAGGCTACGCACAAGGGAAGGGAGAGCAARGCCACCATAATTCTGCCAGGTACGGTGCTGTGGTCCAAATGTCACATCATTCTGGGAGATGAATCTTTTTCCTGGATTTTTTCCTGCTCTTTGAGSATCTAGCAAGGAAAATTAAGTGCAACCAAAAACATATTTAGGCACTAAGTTAGGTAGACATTCAAAAATACCTAGATTATATGATCATAATGCAAGAAACAAATAAACAATCCTAAAATTCCCCAGTTCAAAAAAAGAATAAAAACAATCATCTGTTATTTGTGACCTTTCCTTTATCTAATACAAAACAGTTGAAGGGTTYGCATTGGTTCAAATGACTCCTGGAAGAAAATTCAAATTACCTTCTTTGAAAACATAAAATGAAGAAAGGACATGTGACTTTTCCCCTGATATTTTGATTACTTTTGGATAACTTTTTAAATTGCTGTTTTTCTTCAAAAGAGAGAGAAAAGTAAAACTCAACAGTTGGAGGGGTAGTATGCAATCACATATAAAAAGCTAATTTTTCTCTTCAAGTTAATCATTAATTAATGACCTTCCATCTGATTCTCCAACACTGTTTAACTTCTGCTTAAAAAAAGCCTATTTTTTTTAAATAGCATGTTTTGTGTAGTTCTTGTCTTGTATAGTTCAGATACATGTGTAGTCTCTATTATTCATTCAACAGAAGAGAAAACTGAAGAATTCAAAGCAGTTAATATTTGCGACATTTCGGATGCTTCTAAAAAAGGTTAGTTACAGTTATGTTATTGGGGATTCAGTAACAATGCATGAATATGCACTGTACAGGAATGTCTGACTTGGAGACACTTATTAAGCAATGGGATGCTCTTTTTGTGGACAAAATACCAAAACATTGAACATTTCTGCACCAGAGAAGGCAACTACCAGAACTGGAAATGCTTATTGAGAAATAACTTGCTGCTTCAGTCTAACAAACTAGTGAGCAGTCAAAWTTGTATGGGATAAAACAGGAATGTAAAGTCAATCCTCTGCTACTTCCTGCACTTGATAAATTCCTCTCTCATATTTTCCTTAGTTCCTGCTTCTCTCACCCAGCTATGTTGTGTGAATTGTCCTTCTTTTTGGGGAGGACTGGGACTGCATGGTGATAACATCAAGATGACACTTTCTTTCTTGCCTTTTTTCTTCGCAAAGCAAATGTCAAAATGGAGAAAATGAATATGCTGTCTATGGCTGTTTTGGGTTTGAGAGTCCTGCTGGCAAAAAGCATCGCCTTCAATGTACTCATGAGTATCAAGCTGTTACTATTCTGAGGTAGGAAATACATAATTCAGCCCCTAAGAACATGACAGGCAAAATCAAACAGTGACCWTTTGCAACCTTCTGTAACCCCACAAGGAAAGGTATCTGTTCAGCTGTTTCTGTTTTTACTGGATAAATTGATGTAACACGTAAGTTGCACCTCATCCCAAATCAGGCTAATCTAGAGCATCTCACATTCTGTTARAAACCTGCTGGTTGTTTCACGTGGCAAAGCACAAAGTCTTGATAAATTTTCAAATCAGCAAGAATATACAAGTAGAATCCCCAAAACCAACAAAAATTAAAAAGGAGGCAGGAAAAGGAGGAGGGAAAATTATGATGATCAAGTAGCCAAATGCCTAAAATACATTTGGCTACTTGCTTCCTGATTAACAGAAACTAACTCCACTGCATTGGATATAAATAATAATTTAAAGCAAACATTGCTTGTTCTTTCAGGTAYTGGGTRCTGAAACAGCAGTGGGCTGATTAARAGCAGGAAAGAACAACATCAGGATAACAACGTGTCATCCCTGCTACCAATAAATACTGGAAGAATCAACAAATTCCCCAGTTTCTGCACATCTCTGAGTCTACTTCACCAAGGTTCTCTTCAGTCAACAACGTCTGGACATCCTTGCTAGACAGCGAGGGCTGCTGAACTCCTGTGTAATTTAGGATCATTAATGGAACAGTTTCTGTTATTTCTTTTCCCCCTCATGCCTCTGTTAAGCAGGAATACCTGGCTTTCCTACTCCTCTATCTATTGCACTGATGCGTCCAAATTGCTTAAATAGTTTCAAAAACTTAAAATTGAACTTTTTTGCTTAGTATGCTTTAAAAATACCATCTCTGGTCATACCATGTAATGCTTTTCTGCTTTGGGGGCACAGGGGAATACTGTATAAATATAAGTTTTTGGAGAATTTAATCAGTGGCAGTTTTTTAGGGCAGGTAACTAGATTTCACTTAGACATGAAGGAATTCACCTCAGACAGCTGCACAGTAGTGTTTTCATTTCCATTTCTTCTTTTAAGCAAACTTTTCTYTTCTTAAGTATATAGTACTTGCATTTCAGTTTTCCTAATATACATCAGAATAAAGGTTTATTATGTTTGCTTTGTGTTACGACCTTTCTGCTGAAAGTTGGATAAAAATCTTTGAAATTCCACTGTCCTACGCAGTTACCACTGAGAACTAGAAAATKACTTATTACAGTCCAGAGTTCCTTTTTATTAAATGTGCCTACCTTGGGCTTTCCACAGGGAAAGAAGAAAACTCTTTGGCACATTTAAAAGATTTCAGGACACCTGTAAATTCTGGCCTTATTTGGYTTAAAGGAATTTAATTTTTCATGGCTCTTTCAAGCTACTCAGACTCCAAATTGTGGATCATAACAAAAAAAAAAAGGAGATGGGTATAAAGAAAAAAGGTGAGAGAACAGGCTGCTGATTTTCAACTCACCAGTGCTTGGAAGGGGCCAACAGGAAACASTGGTGTTCTGTAGATCATCAAGCCGTTGGCTGGCAGTCACAAAAACCCAACATTGATTTGTATCTCATAAGCTGCTAAGCTGATAGGATGCTGTGGTTCAAGCACATCGACWCTATCATGCTATTCACACAGATTTCCCCTTGTTTTTAAAATCGTGCTAACCACTTCCCAGGTGCAAGGCCCACAGCATTTCTYAGATGTTCAGATAAAATACTGTTGACCCCAAAAAGGCCCCCAGAAGGTGCATGGCAAAACCTATTTCATTAATCTTGACAAGTTTAGTCATTCAAACCATCRCTCCAGATATTGTGATATTTGTATGGTGAAACCACTCTCTCTGGGTCCTGCAGTTCTGTGGTTTGGTCTCAGGAGAACATATTTAGTGTAGAAAATCATGGTAGCCATGGTTTTTTTCCAAGACATCCCAAGAGCCAAATGGACATGTGGAGGGCAACCTGAGGCACTGTGTCACTCTGGCCTGGAGCGTTTCAGGGCAGGTGGGAATCTCYATTGTCAGGCATATGTTTAGATAACCATTAATAGACAATAGGTTAATTAATACAGCCTTGCAGATTTGCTCTATACATACAAAGAAACACAAGGCAGTTTGTACCCTCGTCTGCCAGTTATTTAAAAAGGTAGGAAATGTGAGAGGGACAGGGCAGGATGTGTGAAAAARGAAGGAAAACACGAGGGGAGAAAAGAGCAGGAAACATGAGGAGAGTGGGAAATGTCAGAGAAGAAAAAGGCCTGGAAATGTGAGGAGAAAAGCATGAGAAATYTGAGGGGAAAATTGTGAGAAATGTGAGTAGACAAATTTGGGAAACATCAGGGGAAAGCATGGGGAAAAGGGCAGGAAACACAAYGGGAAAAGGGTAGGAAGTGTGAGCGGTAGAGTGGGAGAAAGGTGAAAGGGTGGAAAATGTGAGGGGGAAAAGGGCAGGACAGCCGAGAAGAAAAAAGGACAAGGAAACATGAAGTACAAAATGAAAGAAATATTAGAGAAAAAGTGAGAAATGTGAGGGGAGAAAAAAGGCAGGAAATATGAGTGAAAAGAGGGCAGGAAATGTGAGGGGCAAAGTGGTAGAAAAGAGAGGGGAAWGAATGGGAAACATGAGGCAGAAAAGAGCAGGAAACCTTAGCAAAGAAAAGGAAAGGACAGGAAATGTGCCAAGGAAAATGCAGGAAAGATGAGAGGAAATRCRTGAGAAATATAAGGGGAAAAGGTAWGAAACATAAAGGGAGAAAAAAGGCATCTATTGTGAGAAGCAAAGTGAGACAAATATGAGAGGGAAGTGTCAAAAATGTAAGAGGAAAAGGAGTAGAAAACTGAGGAGAGAAAAGGGCAAGGAAACGTGATGGGAAASTGCAAGAAATGTGAGGCAGAAAGTGTGAAAAACATGAACAGAAAGCTGAGAAAAACTAAGGGGAAAGCTTAGGTTCCCTAACGGGAAAGTGTTAGACACGTGAAAAGGACAGTGTGAGAAAAATTAGGGGTAAAGTGAAAGAAATGTGAAAGGGAAAGTGAAAAATATAAAGGGAGAAAAAGGAGAGGAAATGTGAGGGGGAAAGAGCAAGAAGTGAATGAAAAAATAAATATAAAATTAAATAAACAGAAGAATAAATAAACAATAAATAAATAAGGACCCCTGAGCATCCTCCAACAAACTCTGGAGGGCACTGTTTAAAATAGGATGAAAAGTTTCTGGACAGCAAAGCTGCTTTTATAGCCAAAGTAGGATTAGGGTTTTTAGGGTTAGGGTTAGGTTAGGGGTTAGGGGTAGGGTTAGGGTTGCACAGCAAAAAGTAGGGTTAAGGCTAGGGTTAGGGTTAGGGCTCAAGATAGAGCCCTAACCACTGCTGGTGGTGCAGTGTCGAGGTGGTGATTGGAAAATGCTGCTTTTTTACTTTCAGGAGTTKGATTGTAGAAGGGTTTTCGGATAGTTTAGGTAAAGTGTTTAGTTGTCTGATGTTTTTTACTTCTACAGCAGCTATTTTAAAAGYTCACTTGAGYCTTTTTGGGTCTTTGAAAAAACTGCTTTGGAGGAAATCTATGCTCAGAATGCATGGGGATTCTCGGCCAGTCACAGTGGGATGCTTCTGTTACTTTTTCTTAGGTGTATTTTAGCTTTTAACACAGTCAGCTCTTGTGATTTCTCTTTTACCTCTGCAATAGAATGGGTTCTGTCCTTACATGTCTCGATGGCATTAGGATACACTGTGCTCCTGTTTTAACTAATGCTTCGTATTTTTGTGGTTCTGATATGCCAGGCATCACATTTACACTGTCTAGAAGACATGGTTTTCTCATGCCTCTACCTGGCTAGAGGCAGGGCTTCTCTAACTATGGGTATTATCTCTTCTATAGGCACACTTACAGGTTCTTTTCAGGCAATTGGATATATCATCTCTCCTTCTATTGCATTTAGTGGGTTGATTACACGAAGTTGAGGCTACCTTTTTTTTAGAAGAGCTGCTTTGGCTAGTGTTTTTTTTTTGGTTTTTTTTTTTTTTTTTTTTGCTGACGCACCTGGGCTGCCAGGTCTGAAGTTGGTTTCTTTTCTTACTTTTTCTTGTCTTCTCTTTGCTTACATAGGAAGAACTACAGCTTAACTTGTGGGGTGTATTTTCTTTCTCTTGTTGGGAGACGTTGGGCTCTGGTGTTGGGGNTTTTTTTTTTTTTTTTTTTTTTTTTTTTGAGCTGACGCACCTGGGCTGCCAGGGCAGAAGTGGGTTTCTTATCTTACTTTTTCATGTCTTCTCTTTGCTTACATAGGAAGAACTACAGCTTAACTTGTGGGGTGTATTTTCTTTCTCTTGTTGGGAGACGTTGGGCTCTGGTGTTGGGGTCAGTGATTTGTATTGGTGCTACACTGATTTTCTTCATCTCTTCTCTAATCTCTTTTAACTCTTCTTGGAGGTCCTTAACTATAGCAGTGATGTGAGCTTGCATCGGGCTGTTGATCATACTCGCATAATACCGGAGCTTGTTGGCTACAGAATTTACTGTTTCTCGGTTGTCATCAGCATTAATCGTGGTAGTGAAGGTGGCATACTGGGATGGCCCCTGACTTGCCAGATTCTACAGCATTTGCTCAGTGTACTTGACCTGGTCAGAATCATTATGATGCTGCCCGTCTCTTCTAAAGAGTACTTCTATTTTCCCTACTTCTCTGAGCCATTGAATCTCCTCTTCAATGGTCTTTCAGGGCATTTTGTGATAGTRTTCTTGCATCCTGTCTCTATGGACAAATTTCTCTCTTACACYCATTAAGAGCCACTCCTAGAGAGAAAGGGTCTCTGGCTCCCCCACAAATACTTGATTAATACTTGCATCTTTGGTCAAGGGTCTTAAATACTTGGCTTCGTTRGTATTTATTTGCACACTTAAATTCATAAGGTTCCAAACTCTAAGTAAATAGGTTGAACAAACCTCGCCCCCCCCCTCGTGCGATGTCATCTCACAATTTGCAGAGGCTGTCATGTGACAGGCACTCGGTGATTATGTCAGGTTCTGGCWCCCCTGCTGGTTGTGAGGGCTTTGGTTTTCTACCATCATTAGCTGAGTGTACCAATTTGGTTTTATACTTCTTCTGCACAGGGGCTATTGCAGCTGGTTGTGCCTGCCCTTGTGGTTTGCCCTTGCTTGGACAGGTGTAASGTTTGTGGGTTCTACTGCTGTGTTATCAGACTTTTCTTCTTTGGGGCAGGGAGRGGATTTGCCATCAGCTGGGAAGATGTATTCTCTCAGCCCCTGGTGCATCTCCTGCATCTCCTCTACCAGTACTCTCACCCACTCTGGGTGGTGCAGCTCTTGTATCTCTTTTACTAGGACTTTCCCTCATTCCGGGCAGTTAGTTTTTGAAGTAGATTGTTGGGCAAGATCAGGCAGTGGGACAAGGTTCGKCCTGGGGAATGAGTCAGGCTCTGGGGCAGCATCTTTAGTTTCTGGGGCAGCATCTTTAGCTTCTGTGGCAACATTTTTGGTTTCTGTGGCAGCATCTTTGGTCTCTGGGAGTAATACCCCTGATCTCTGTGGCAGCACTCTTGGTTTCTGTGGCAACATCTCTAGTTTCTGTGGCAGTATTCTTGGTTCCTGGGGTAGATGTTAGAGTGGTTGCTCAGGGCAGTCTTACTTTATCTTAGTGAAAACAGAATATGCATATTAGTATCATGTAGGTAGCATTTAGGGGAAAAATGGACTCTTTGATCAGTGATGAAATAGCTCTAAATAAATGGGTGAAGGGTTGGGAGAATGCTTYCCCTGGTGTTATTTCCTCACAGTAGGTACCATTATTAACCCAACWCCAAAARCATRCACTCAGTGTGTGGTAGCCCTCTATCTAAGTGCCTGCTGTCCAGAGRAAGTTAAAAATCCACGGATTTTTCACTTTATTCACCCATTGTGTGMACTGGATAATGGCTACTGTAGTCTTAGTCATAGGAATCATGTTTAGGTAAGGAGCTGCAAAAGGGAAAAATACAGCCATGAGTATGTGCTACTTGAACTAAGGTATGCTAGACTACATAGTGCCACCTAGTGAGGTTCTTACACAAAGATAGGTCACTCAAAAACTGTTATTCTTTCTGTTCTCTTTTTKCTTTTCTGTGCCCTCRAGCCCCACATTGRGCRCGAAAATCTGTCTTGGTTTGAAAGAAAGGTGTTTGCTAATGAAGGGACTCTTCTTGGAGTGGTGGATATGACACTCCTTCCCTCCAAATTATTATAGTTTTGAAAAAATCAYGGGCTTTCAGGCAAGAATATGGGTAAAAGGGAATAACAGTTTTTACTAATATGTATAACAAGGTGAAACAAGTAACAACAGCGATAGCAACAATCAACTCAGCTACAGATTTAATGACAGCTTTACACACAAGGTACTCTTTTCTTTGGTGCAATGATTCCCCAGCGGCTGCAGGGGCACTGTGGTGCCAGTCCCGGCTGGTTCAGATCTCCCACATGGGTAACGACGGGCACAAATCAGAGACTGATGGAGAAAAGAGTCTTCTGCAAACTTACAGTGGAAAAACGCTGATTTCGGTGCTTTTTTTGGATGGCAAGAAACTTCAGAACGGCTAGATGGGCAAAAAGATGATCAGAATCTTGTGGCTGTAGACGGGATGTAGTAGAACTCAATTATTGCAGTTGGAATTTTAGGGGTCTCTGGCAAGGCATGGGGGGGCAGAAGACTACAGTGCAGTAAACAGGAATTGATGACAGGACGTTGGGTTCTGTACCAGCATGTCTTCTGAGCCAAGCAGGGCAGGAAGTGAAGCTACTCCCCGACCCACACACATGCACACGCTTTCCCTGAGCCTAAAACTCTTGCGAGAGTTTCTCTCTCTCCAAAGAGAGGGAAAAAAAAATGCCAGGCAGGAGGAGTGTTCAGGAGACTTTTTGGGTGGGGCGTAGGTTCTTTTGTCTTCTCCAATCGTTCAGCCATCAAAAGAATGAGTTGGCAATCAGTGTATTCTAGCAACAAAATGGGAAAGAAAATTCCCCAAGAAAGGAAACAAAAGGAAAAACTTCAATTTACAACAATCTCCCATTCTGTGGAGCAGGGATTTCTCRTGCAGAATTACAGACTTGCTGCACAGAGAACTTACTTCTCATCTGTCCAGGTCTAGAAGTTTTCAGATGTCAAATATTTCAGGCTCTTTAAAACGGGTCAGTATCCATCTCCCACAATGCCATGTTTAAGGCTCAGCGCCAAGCACTGCCRAACTCAACAAGATTTTATCAGGGCTTCTTGGCAATCTGAACTGCATACACATATATATGGAAGCATTATCAGAGTAAAAAACTTTACATTCTTCCTCTGAGCATTGCAAACCTATAACACCATGATTGTCATATTTGCAGGACCTTTTTTTCTTTAGTTGACATGTCAATTGCTTTATTGTTATAGTCTTGGAAATAAATCTCTATTATCAGTGAGTGGATATAAACTGTAAATAAAGATGGGCCACAGCCATCCCAGTCTCATCCTGCTGAAGTCTGGAGAGCATCATYCCAGATGGATTCAGATGTTATCTGGAGGATCTGAATCTCTTGCAAGAGCTGTGCTGGCCCGTTCTTGTTTATCCTGCGCAAGTCAATAGTTTTTTATCTCATGAAAGAGTTCATCTACTTCTGTTACTTGGCTTTGAGAAAGTCTTTAGCAAGGGAGTGCCTTCCTGTTCTCAAGAGCCCGTCTGCCAAAGGAAACACCGATGAGAGCATCGAGGCTCCGCAGGAGCCGCTTTCCATTCCCACATGTATTGAATGAACAGGGTTGTAAAGAGTAAGGGTTTGCAATATTTTAAGGGAGGTTTATTTCWAAATTATGCTAACAGAACAACAAGTTGAAATATAGTATTTATTGCAATTTATCATTTTCATGTCCTACATAYCGGATGTATTAAAAGCATACAATGTAATACATTATTTATACAGCATATATGAAAAGTGTATCCCAAAATACTTTCCAGAGTACCTGGAATAAATCACAAAAGAATACTTATCATGGTACAAATGTAGTCATACAATTGACTTACATTTAGTGTACTTTCTGGAGCTGTTCTACATGGCTTTTATTGCTGTTTACAGAAATTTTACTAGTTTATAGTACTAATTAACTCAGTCTTCAAATTGTGAACATTTATATAGAAGTGTTACATTCTTTTCAGTCAGATTTGTTATTATCTACATTAATTTACATTACTGCTTACTTGACTGGAAAGTTCTACATTTTCATGTAACACAATTATATAAATACAGTTCCTCTCCTGTTCTTCAGAGTTACCCAATTTAGATCAGTAGTCCAATCAAATGATGGTCATCCAGCTCACTGCATGTCAGAATGCTCTTAAAATGCAGCTCAGACTTCAGTCCTGATTTGGTTTAGAAAAAAAGACCATATTTCATCAGTCAAGACAGAATATACACAGAAACCCTCTACAGTAAAAACTTAAGGCCTTGCTGCATTCTTGGTAAAGTCTTGAGCAGATTATTGTAATTTTGCAAGTCTCAGTTAAAACATCTTACAGTATTTTCAGGAGTATATTAAAAGTAGAATGAACTTCCTTTGAGTCTGCCCACTCCTACCATTCATTGAGTGCCTCACAGTCATCAGGGTCTGTTTTCTGAATTCCGGCCAAAATCAGAAGGATAAAGGACTTTCACTCATTCAAACTWGTCAATTAATGTCTTTTACAACAACATTCATTTCTTTTTATCTAAAAATACCATCTACAGCCATTCATTTTAAATGTAAAGGTAATTTTCACAAACCATATTTCAGAATTCAAMTCCTGAATTACAGAGGGACTATGTGGGCACAAAAATTCTAAAAGACCTTCTGTAATACCTAAAGCTGCATCCCTAATGGGTATTAATATACATGTTGGGATTAGATTTTAGCGTCTATCTCTTCAAAAACAGATACTGYCCAAATATTTCCTATTATCAGCCACTAGATGGAGATAAGGTTTCACACGTCCAAAGCTTATCCCTGAAATAGGAGTTGAGTCATYACTCATCTTCTTGTGGGTTCAATATGAGGTCAATATTATTATTTTAAATACAACTTTAGGATGTGTGCTTGATTTGAATAGTCAGGACTGAATTGCATTAGCCTGGAGATAAAARCAATCCCTTTGGGAAGCTCTGTGGCAAGGTGAGCACCCAAGGGATTGACACTGCATGCAAGAACAATACTGATCATACAGAACCTAACTTGTTTGTTTTCTGTTGCAGTTACTGTAATTTAAAAAAAGGTCCTTCACTTATGTTAATGGAATTACAATAAAACATTCCTTACTCATTTTAAGTTTGCTAAGAGTGGAAGATCAAAACAAGATATAAATATATATATTTAAATTAGTTCAGTATTAGATACAGCAATTCCTGCTGCTACTTTGAAGCCAAAGATAAGATTTTAAGTGCTTTGGACAAAAAAAAATAGTACTCAAAACTCCAAATTCTGATTCAGGGCCGCTGTTGCTGTTGGAATTGCAAGGACTGCTGCAGTTTGCAGTAGGCAAAATTTTCTTTGATGAAAACTCCTTCCTTGAATGGAAAAGTAAATAAATAAAGTGTCAGGGATTTTCCTACACAATTACTACTGACTGTATCACCCTCTTTCTCATGACTGAGGAAGTGCAAACCAGTGCCTCAGTCCAACAAAGTAAATTCCATTATAATCTGCTCTATCCCTTACTATTTTGAGCAGCAAACACAATATTCACCTGCATGTGTTGAGGGAAACAGCCCAGTTCATCTCTCCTCCCAGCTAGTGCTGGGTACAAGAGAGCTCTCACTGGTGAGGAGAGCCCCTGACTGCACCACGTCTGTGACAGGTGGGATCCACCCTCAGTTTGGACAAATTTGGAGCTTCCACATTAATTCCCTCTGCCAGCATGGCTTCAGATACTGCTACCAGTAGTATTGACAATAGGATATATTACAGCTTCATTACACAAACAGAATTAAAACACAATACAAGAAAAAAAAAACCAGCTGTACAGCTATACAACTCCTTCTTACAGGCATTTGAAATGRCACATTGCACTAGACAGCTTCTAAAGAAGCAATATTGCCTGACTGCTGCTTCACTCAGCCTGCTTCTTCCCCTTCCCCTCACAGTTAACATCACTAGTAACTTCAGGTACAAAGTTACTGAAGAGCTGCTTTCAGGATRTATTTAGCAAGACTCCATGCTGCTGTTCTTCTCCATGAATTGATAAAAATTTACCTAACCAAGCTGCAAAGGTGCAAGATATCTGCTCATATTTAGAAGCTTGATGTGCTGAATGCTCAGGATGTACTGTTCTTTGTGCTAAATTCCAGCACTCTCTTGAATGGGGTGTAGGTTCTCACCAGCCTCGGGCTTTCAGGAGCTCTGTTCTCAGTGTTTATGCTGTTCAGGAGACAAGAGAAAGCTTTCAGAGCTAAAGTCAGAGTATCACACAGCTGGGCTCACAATGCCATGACAATGAACTTGTGCCCTTGTGTTGATTAGTTTAATTTTAGCCTGTCACTATCAGTGTATTTGGTATGTTCCATATTTCTTTTCTATAATGCYACAAAGAATATTTGACCATGGCAGATACTGAAAGGTTTACAGGCCTGCATTTGCTGGCACTCATAGTGGGATGCCCAGCAATAAACTTACTAGGACTTAGGATCCCGCAACAAAAAAACATAGCAATATTACATTTAAGAACATAATTAAAGGATCCTGCAGCAAAAAAAAGAAACCAATATTGCATTTAAGAACATAATTAATCATTGAGAGTAATTCCATGAAATCTAAACTGCACAGAGGTGCATTCCTGCATAGAGATAAATCTCAAAAATAGAAAAAGTAAGTAGGGGGTGTGCTTACATAGAGAGGAGCCCAAGAGAGGGCAACAAAGATAGGTTTCTGTTGACAGCCTGAGTGAAAAACACTGTATTTAAGGTTTAAAAACACATGCCATTAAAATGTGCTCTAGGTGGAACTCCAAAATGAGTGGTTTTAAATTATGATGGGAATTTTAGTCTGCTTGCTGATTTCACATGCTAATTTATGTTCCTCAAACTAAACTATTCAATTTGCAGGGCAGTTACAATGAACACAGATTATTAGCAAAATTRTTTACTAATGCAGCACTGATAAGGGACATTATGAGGAATTTTTCTACAAACAAGCGAAAAAGGTAAATACCTGTATGGAAGATCACATTCTACACCAGTATCTCGGGTTTCTATGTTGGTCTTTGGTTGGTTTTCCATTAAGTAGTCCAGTTTATCTTGTAATTGTTTATTCTGGGAAACAGTAATTTTCATCACAAGTTTATTTTATTTATGTTAATTAAACATGAAAATAAAATTGCACATCGCCCTCTCCCCACAAAAAATAATGTAAAAGTACTTTTTGAGAAAATAAAGGAATCCTTAATTCTGGAAAAAATATAAATTAAACTGATAGTTTTATTCAGAAGCTTCTGGTATAAAAACATTATAAACCATTATATATAGTGTGAATACTGAGCCTTTACTACATACATTCCTGACTGTATGACTGGTGTAGTAAGTTTAATTTCCATTTGAAGAACGGGAAATATACATTGTAATTATGCATCCAGATAACACTGTATGACATTGGATCAAATTTAATTTGGTTTCATAAAATAATCACAATAATAYAAATTTAAAAGGTAACGCCTTACCTCACATTCTAAGAAAGAGATTTTTTCTAAAAGCTGTATTATAAATAATTCCTTTTCTTTTACTTTCTTCCTTAACATTTCAATCTATGAGGAAAAACAAAACATTTAGTCTGATGGGGATGGGGAAAGGAAGAATAGGATCTAGATACCACAGGAAGAAACCACGTTTAATATTATTGTTCAGCAGCAACAGAATATCTGTAAGTATTCACAAATTGCTTTAATCCCTGGATTAGCTATCAAATYTTATCCAATTTTACTAAAGTGAATTCATTCTGTAGAACAGCTCAACTGAAATCAAGGAATGCTCAGATTGYATTCATTTTTTTCTGGCAAGAATGACCATTTCTAAATACTTGGGTCAAATTTTCCATGCATTCTCACCAGCCATTTTTACTTCTGTATCTTAAAACCAGTGCTGTGAACAAACACTAATCCCCTGCAAAACCACCTGTGTAAAATTTTTCAGCATATCTAGAAACAATGATTAATAGAAATATTCCCAGCCCACTAAAAGAGAAAAATACTCAAGACACRATAATGAAAACAACAGCAGTAYTTCCACCCTCCCAAAAACTTACTGCTAGAAATTATAAAATACTTCAACAAAAACATACAGAAATGTGAACAAAACAAARCAAAACAAACACATATATTAAACTGAAAAATGATAARTTATAACACTAATTGAACTTTMATTTAGYCTCCATGACCTTCAGGTATCACATCTCATTCATAGAATGATCAGTTGTTATTTGGAAAAATTAAAAAGAAACACCATACAGTGTTTTCAGCTAAACAGTTACAGAATATGGAAGTGCCATCATCATCCATCTTTCTCAAAACCAGGTATTTCCTTTATTTCTTTTAAAGTGCATGTAAAAACTATCCATGACATCTAAAGCTATCATCATTTCAGTTTTCAACTCACAGAAACACAAAAGCTTGTAGCATTTTCAGAAAATCTTAGAACATATTTCAATCTTCATATTTAATTACAACTTTGTTTAATAGTATGACTGAATTACGTCATATGTCTTCACTGGTTCAATAGCTTCAGTTCTGCCAATAAATTCCACTTCAGGAAAGATAAACTGTTCTCTTAGGACTTTCAAGTGGATCTTCTCTATTAATATTCTGTTCTCCCACTATGCATACAAGGAAATAATACTAATACCAATAATCAATGCAACACAAAGAAGCCCAAAGCCAAGCACAGCTGTGTGATCACAYTGACACACAGCCATTCTTGCTTGCTATTGAAAATAATCAACTCCATCAGCTGCCTAGGCTTGTTTTTACAACCAACACAAAATATTTCTATTTCCAAATATGTGGTCAAATTACCTGTCATCCAAATGCAAGACCAAACTCTTGTGTTTCACAGGCATTTACCTTGAGTTRTATTCATTCTTATATCATATTCATATGATAGAAAGATCCTAAGATGTGAAATAAACTGACAGYAACCCTTATGTTCACCAGGATGATGTACAAACAGATTTTGCGTAAGTTAAAATTAAAGTTCTGTTTATTCTTCACATTGGCTTACAGAGAGACAAGCTCCCTAAAGACATTTCTGAGTTATTTTAATTTGAATAGTCTGAAGGCAAAGATGAGCCTAGACACCTTAAAATCTAACAGAGAATACAAAAAGGAAGATCTTGGCAAACAGCTTCCTTGCCTTCCCAAACACAGAAATGAACTCCTGAAAGACATTCTGTACTTTGATGAGGATGCCCTAGRGACCAGCAGTCTGAACCATACACAGCAATTCCCAGCCTCACTGCAACACTTTTACACAGTCCCAGTCAGAACCCATCAAGTACAAGCTCTTGCCCCAGAATTACACCAGATTTTAAAAATACGCCTACTTTTTGACTATATGGCATGACATCATCACATGCTCCGTGTCTATCTAGCAGTCAAACAGCATGGTGTGATTAGACCAGGCAGGTTACAAAATGAACAGGCTGTGAATTGTGTAAATTACATAAAACCTTTTGRTGGATCTTTGCAACGTTATGAACTCAGACACAGCCACACACCCCAAATACATTTCAGGAGTAATAAATGCAGCAGTGGCTAAAACAAGAGGCTGTTTCAGTGCCAGAAAGAATGTCCTGCAGTGCTGCTCCCTGGATGCACCCTGTGAGGCCACTGCAGAAGGAAAACAGGGTCACAATGGAGCAGGAACGCTGCATTCCCAAATGGCCAAACAGTTGCCTCAGCGAAGTGGTCCAGCACAGATGACACATCGCAGCAGAGTGATTTACTATAAAAATAAGTTTATTTRCTGAATAAGGACTTGAGTACACATCATCTCATGCCATTAGCACCAGGAATGAACAAACCTGATCTGATTAATCCTTGAGAGGGTATGTTACAGGAAACCATGAAAACCAGGAATAATTCTAAGAGATTATATTAATATATTACTATATTAAATTTTAAGAATCCCAAAACCCATAAATCCAAGTCAGGGGAGTTTCTTTGCTTTAGAAGTTGCATCAAGCAAGAGAATAGCTAGCAGGTGACAAAGCAATAGATTTTGACTTTGGGTTAAATACAAGGTAAGGAGGAGAAGAGTAGAAGCAAGATGGGTCAAACACAATACTGAATGCCAGACCTGAGAGGTGGCCAGAATAGTCGGGTCAGAATGGTCAGAAACAGATCAGTGCAAGCCAAAGACACTCAAATTCCACGGACAGGTTCTTGTATCCAAGCAATTTCTGGACTGACTCCAGGATAAAATTATCATCTAGATGTTCCTATGTTTTCTTTGGTCAATGCCCACCACCTATAATCTACCTCCTCCTTGCTGTGTCTGCAGACTTCAGCATTTTAGCTCACTGAACTCAGCAACTTGCTCCCAAACCTGGCTTTTGCACAACTACCCTCTCAGATTTCTTCATAATTTTCTACAAGCACTATTCAGGTACATCCTTCAGGTTCTCTCTTCCAATCTTCTCTAGAAATGTCCAAACAGATTTTCCCTAACATTTTATTCTTGACCTGACTTTCATTGTTAAGACTCCTCATTCTCTACTCCTTCATTTAGCACTCAAACTGGCCACCTAGTTAGAAATATCAGCACATTAATGACCCACTCATTCATTTCAAAACAGTTCTGCTAGCATTAATAATGTGACTACCCTGGGCCACACAGCCACCCTTTGTCCTATCCCTTCATTCTCTCTTACCTCCCCCAAACCACTATATTCACCATTCCTGCTTTCCCTTCTCCAGCTGGGAGAACATCTGACTATTCCAAAACTGGGAAAACAACAAGGCCCAAGCTACAATTAGTAATTTATCTAGACAATGACTGAGGGGCATCATGTGCTCTCAGCCCTTCAGCCACCCCACCTCAATTCCYGGCATTTCCCTGCTGGGCAGAGAAAGGGCACCTGACCTCTCCCCATCCTGGCACAATCCATGAAACTCCTTGCAAATGGTGCTGGGTGTGCAGCTTGCATTTCACATACYCACTGCAATTTCCAATGATCTGAATCAGCACATAAGCTCCAACATGGAATGTGAATCATTGGGAATTTATCCACTGAGTCAGGATTAATGTGGTCACGCACTTCTTTTTAAGCTCTCTCATCCTYGTTTCCACCCTACTGCTGTTATCACCTCTATGATTTTGCCTCCTTCTGAAACCTTGAGGTCATTTCTCAAACTCCCTCAATCTTCAGGCTGTCACTTTATCTTGCAGCAGCTCACAGAAAATTCAATTCTTCTTTTCTATCCTATCAATGAAGATCTCTTTCTTTCTTAGTGATGCACCTCACAGAGTCTCTAAATATCAAACAATTGTCATGGTACTTGAATGGGCTGTATAAATACTTTCTAGGAAGAGCTGCACTTCTGACTTTATCCTGCACCATCAAGCAATTAAACTTTGCTTCACTAGGATATGAATATGTAAGATGTGAGATGTAAGAGTCAACAGCATTAAACTGATCTCATGGACAGAACATCTAAGAAGAACAGTCAAGAGGAGAATTGGAGAATCACAAGACCTAAAAGGAAGAGTCTCTAGAGAAATCTAGAGATATGTGTGTAGTGGTATTAGAATGAAGAGTCAATAAAATTATAAAGCTATAAAAGCAGAAGGRAAAAGCATCTTAAGAGAAAACTGAAATTATGTTTAAATGTAGACCCTTTATACAGAAAGCCCAAAATAGGAGACTTTATTTTATTCTGTGTGAYTCAGACACAGATCTGGAGGCATTCTAATACACAGGTTGGAACAGATCCAATTACGTAAACTCAGCATTTATCACTTGATAATATCATCCATTAGTTTAAACTACATATCAGAACATGACAGTTTTAATATATCTAAGTGTCATATCATTCGAGTATACTTATGTTTTCCTTATTCATCTACCATTAATGGATTTGGCATCTGTAACACTGATACAGAGACATGAACAAATTGGTCACAAATAAGACTACACACAGGACAAACACATGCTACACAGCAGGCACAAAACAAGACAGACGAGACATTGCAACATCAGCATGAACTCTCAGAGGTAATTGCTGTACGAGGAGAACAGGATTTTCCTCAGTCCAGTATTTCACTGGACCTTAATTRGTATTTATGAGAGGCTAGAAAAGAGTGTTAAAATTTTTTCATGGAGCCTAATACRGCAAATAGGAAGAAACACCTTCRCCTTTTAATCCTCCTTAAAYCAYGTGAKTAACTTATCAATAGTTTTTGTATTKTAAAACWCACATTATATTTACAGAAAAAGTAACAACTGATTGATTTAGGTTAAYRCACCAAYGCAGAGACYCTCCCAAACCAGCGGGCTCTATGAACACATCCTCCAGTGTTTGATGACCATGCATTGCTAAAGCAGGGGCTGATGTGGCCTAATGAGYTACAGACATTGGCTCATTGTCTGCACATCAACCCTCCTCATTAAGCACTACCTCAGTAATGGGCAAGTTTTCTAATTAACGACTTGGCCTGGCAATTCCCAGCTGAGAGTGCTGATGCTATGCATATATGAACACTCTCACCRAACACCAGCAGTGATTCTACTTCTGCCAATAGATAAGCAATGTACTGCTTCCTCAAGTCCACTGAGGAATGCCAAACACTTGCACTGGGGAGTGGGGGAGGAGGGTGCAGAAAGTTATTCATGTTCTGTCCTTTATCTTCTTCCACCAAGCTCCCAAGGTGGGTTCYTCTTTCTACATTTCTTATTCTGCATTTTTGTTGTTGTTGTTTTGGTTTTATGGCAGATTTTGGTTAATAGAAGTCTGGCATTTGTTGTTGGTAATTCCATCTCGTCCTCTGTGCTTCTGTGTGGTGTCTTTTACTTGACCTTGAAACTGTTCCTCCATATTAAAAGAGGGAAATTTTGCTATATMTCTAGACTTGGAGTATCTTGATACCGATGTTTTCTGATGGTTAAGTCTTTTGCAGAAAACATTCATCTTGTGTACCCCATTTGTGCAAAACAAAGTATCTTCGGTATTTGGGATATCATTTGCTCATTAGCACTTTGTCCTTTCATGCAAGTATCTTGCCCCGACAGAACAGGAGACAGCATCTCCCTGGTGTCTGGTCACCGTTTATTATCCAGTGCATCTGAGATTAAAGCTGGAGAACAGCTCATGGGCCATGACCTAGGGACAGTTCAATTCAGYAGTTAGGGGAATTTCATGTGAAATCTGAGTTCTGTAGATAATTTCTTGGCATGAAATCAAATATCCTTTTTTCTTCAGACCCCTTCAGAATAGCTTCGTACATCTGCATCAACCCCCTTGCCTTGCTTACAAATGTAAATGCTTATTTCCTTCCCTCTCCTGCTTCTCASCAATGAAACAACATTACATATAAAATAAGCTTATTATGCAATGAAATTTCAATTCATTTCAGAGTCAATTGCACAAATCTCAAAACCAAATCTCTGCATTCAGTACTAACACGATGAGACCTCTGAAGAGGAAGGTGTTAAATACTCTTTCCCTCCATGGCCTCCTACATTTGGTGCTTCTCTGTCAGCATCCCCTTTCATGCCTAAATTAGGACTGACCACCACCTCCTAACACATTTCTAAATGCCATCAAAACACCACCAGAGGTGTTAGAGCTTCCTGCTGAATCACAAAACTCCACTAGAAAGCTTCTCTTTCACTTCCTCCTGACTGCTTGCTGTTCTTTTGTGGAATGCCCTGCATGTGTCATCTTGCAAATAATCCGTCATCTTTCCCAAAACGGGCTTAAGAACAATCTATTTTGTTATTATTTTCAGTCAGGAGATTCATCTCAGTACTTGTCCGATTCTGACAGTTCTCCACGTAAGTTGGAAGCAGTATATCTTGTTTGTTCAGCATCCCTTTGAAGTGATGTTTATTTCTCCAATTTCCCTGAATTGGAGATGGTAATTGYATCAACTTGTTGTGATTTACACGGGAAGAGTGAACCCCTTATACTTCAGATCTGTGTCCAGTATACAAAGATTAATACTAAACAAAGCCCATGCTGTATTCAAGCAGATATAGGCTTTCTCACCTAGCAGCTCATACAGTAACTCTGTTTTAGCTTCCCACAAAAGCACTGCTGATAATTTTGGCTAGTTTCTTTCCTTCCACTCCCTGCCTGAGTTTCCCAGGTTAACCTGTTCTCACTCTAATTCTTATGCCACAGAGAGGCGAAGCATTTCAGAAACCAAGATTTCTAGTTTTTTTAATTAATTGATTATTCTTTCTCAATTATTCAAATGCAAGTTATCAATATCATTACAATACCCTCATAAACCCYAAGATGGCATGTATTTTACAGATACCAGACATGGAAATATTGCAATATTGGGTATATATGACACTTTTCTTGATATTCCATTACATTCTGCAATCAGTTAAATTTAGTGCAGGGAGGATATGTGTTTAAATATACCCTGATGAACATGTCTTCCGGGACTTAAATAGTAGTGCAATCTCCCCTATTTACTCTAGAAGATATTTTTAGTGCTGCTGCTCACTAGTTTTTAACTTAACTTCTGAACAGRCTCTTCAGATAGCATTCCTTTTCAATACTTCTGTTGCGAATTTCTCAGCTTCTATGGCATAGCTAACAAGTGCTGCTTAAAATGAGCCATAAGTTATTTATCTAATGTTACACAGAGAAAAGCACAAAATCATGAAAAGCACCACATGCTTGGATAGTTGAGGGCATACATATCTGCAKCTCTTTTTCTTGTGCCCCATGGTGAACAGCTACTTTTCTCTACATTATTAAAGCTGCTATTTTTGGGCCCTTAATCAAGAGTCCAGTTTAAAACAGGGCATGCTAACTATATTGTGGATATTTTCTCAAACAGAGTACAAGCACAATCAACAAATAACACAAAATTAAAAAACAAAGCCCCAAACATTAAATGCTGATGTATTCGGTATCACCTGACCTGATCAAATTTCTGGTACAGGAATCTTTAGCTAGYTCACAAGTGAAAATACTACAGGTGTTCATGCAATTCTCAAGGAAGCTGAATTAAAATAAAAATTAAAACACACAAGGACTAAAGRAGAGAGCAAAAAATATCTATCCTATGGCTATGTGGCAGTCAAGAAGTGAGACAGAGATTTAACTGAATCTGAAAAGCAGGCAGTCAGACAGCAGTAAGAAGTAGACATGTTTGACAGATAAGCAGTGATTTGGTCATCTAATGCTCTACTTGTTAAATCGGATAACCACATGATATAGAAGTGCTTTCTGTGTATATGAAGGCACCAGCAGAGGTAACAAGATTACAAGAATCACCAAACTAAACTCACCCATTAAATCTCATCTTTATGAAACAATAATCATTGGCACAAACTTTATATGTGGTTTTATTTCAAAACAAAACATGGAGCTGAAAGGATTTGTTATACCAATGCAGTCCACTAGAGGTCAAGTTACAACCAGTAATTTAAAATATATTTAGTAATAAAGGGCAAAATTTAGGCCACCATCCTCATATACTGCTAGAAACATTCAGGATGCCACATGTATCACAAATCCTTTACAACTTTTGTTTAGAACAGACAAAAAAACCTCATAATACAATGTTTGGCATACAGAGATACAAAACAGATTAAATAATTGTTCATGTAATCCATTAATTAGATGAATTGGATTGGATTATTAGACTGGAGAAGTTTYCTTAATAGAAAACCATGGTATAAAGACTGTTAGAGWGTTTTAGACCAGCTACGATGCTTGRAAACAGTTATARTGGCAAATCAAACCAAAACCTSAAGACTTGATATGTTTGATATGGTAGAAGAACTTTAATCCTTCTGTGTAACAGACACTTGGTATCACACATCTGATCCTAAAGAAAGACTACACCAAAACCTTATAAAGCAAAGAAGATAKATGTAAATACCTACAAACTTGACAAAACCAAACAACTCCATATCTAATCAGAAATCCTGTAATAGCACATTGTGAATGCAGAAAGAATAGATTTGAGGGGCTTCTGAACATTTGATTTTGTGAATATATGATGTCCAAATACAAATCAAAGATACCTCATGAGTGCCTGCCCTCTGTGCATAGGAAGGCTCATCTAATAGAGCTGCCAATCTGCTTTGTAAAGCTCCAATCTATACTTATCTGTTTCCCATGCCATTCTTTCCAGTTGGAGAAACAGAAATGTTTGCAATTACAGCCTTCTGACTGCGAAACAGTTTCCTGACACATAGGAAGCCTGCAACCTAAAGCAGCTATCCAGCACAATTCCACTTCAATTTTTACAGGAAATTATATTAGCTAAGATGATGTCCCCAGATAAGGGTAAGAAGAAATGAGCAGTGAAAAACTGTAATTGCTCACTTGTTTCTGCAAGGAATCACATTAAACAAGCAAACCCAAAGCAAAAAACCCAAGCAGAATTCCCAAAACCAAAAGAACAAAATAACAAAGGTCAGTTTTTGCCTTCCACTTCTGCACAGGAGGGAGACTCTTAATAACTAGTCTGCATCGTGTCAGCAGGTATCCTCTGAATGGTTCAAACTGAGCTGGAAGTTATATGTTGCATTTCCTGAATACCCATTAAGAGGTACAGAATTTGTTTCAGCCTAAAGATCACAATGTTTAACCCACAGCCATTGGTTTAAACTGCTTTCATCTACTCCTGCTTCAGTGGCACAGGGTGCTTAACTCGACTTCCACTGTAACTAAGGTGCCATAAGGCAATAGCACAAAGACCACAGTTYTCTTTGAGTTATGGACTAAAAGAATCAATGCTCCCCAAAGCCTGGGAGTTGTTTTACTAGATCTCACCTCCTCAACCATGTGCTTGACTTTCTTCTGTTGGCAGTGGACCATGTCATCCAGATGTTTGATCCGCTCTCTCAGGCTGGCTGCTACTTCCTCCAAATGCTGTGACCTGGCAAAACATGCAAGAATYAAGCCTGTTAGTGGGGTACTATGCAGTATAAGCAGAACAAGAATATAATCCCCCATAAATCAAGACAGGCAAGTCAAACTGCATTAACAGATGTCAAATTGTCCAAAGTACATTTTAATGTAATCTTAGTCCAATCTTAGGCCATCTCCACCCAAGTTAACTCACCTTTGTGTTGCATACTGACATGCTTACTCAGAGCCTGAAGTGCTGACAATTAAACAGTGTGACAGAACTCAACTCAAGATGTGTTTTGCTTCAAGTGAAAGGGTTTTGGACAACCAAATCTTTAGCATTAGAAAGGCACATTTAGCCTGACTTACTACTACCTGCAAATATTTAGGAAATGTATGCTAAATAAAAGCCAGGAAGCAGGTCTGCTTTCAAAGCTGTCTTACTGCAGGGAAGCCTTGAGTCAAGAATTTGGCAGAGCTGCCAACAGCAGCAGAATGCTAACTGGAATAGTATTAACTCCTCAACAGTCAGCGGGGATTGCTATGAATGGGTTCAGYTTGAGAGCTATCAGTTTGTGCATTTGACTCTTCAGATCGGTTCTGCATTTCTTCAAATCTGTTTAATATAGAAAGTGAACACCCACAGAACTCCTGCCACAAGCTGGYTTGTCAGCTTCTCAAAAAAGTAGCTTTAGAATATGCAAATAAACAGGAGAGAAGCTTTTCTGTAAGGTTTTGCCTCTTTGGCCATGGGAGTCTCCATTTTTATCTGAATGTCCAATTCTTAAATTTGTCAAAGAAAGCAATCACTTGCTTACAAAATAAACTGCTGCACTCCTCGATTCAGGACTGGACAGAATTTGAGAACTGGAGGAGGGGAATCAAAATCAAAAAGGCTTTTTTTCATGTTGATCTGGGCACAGCAGAAAAAAAATCTGTTAAAGCTGCAAATAGAACAATCATTCTTAGACAAAGCAGCAGATGGCAAACTGTAAGACATGATTCCAATGAATGACTGAATTGTACGCCGYTTCCCTCAAAAAGAGTCTCTATTAACAGTGAAGTACTCTGCAGAAATTAAACTGCAGCACTTTGCAAGGACTCAAAAAATTCAAGGCATTGCTGCAGGTTTTTCAGTTGTGCCTATTAAGGTCTCACAGAATTTCAATTTATATTTTGATTGCAATTGTAACACATATTTTGCATCTCATTAAAAGTTTCAGAATCTTAAGCATTGATAGCAATGGAGAAGCAGAASAGACATCCTTCCTAAGGTGGACCTCAAGTGTCTGGTAAGGTACAGACAGGTAGAGARCTTAAGAACAAACCAGCATCATCTGAACACAGATTCATTGCTTGCATAGCACAGATTGCAACTGTGAGCTTGCTTGCATTACACAAATTCCTACCTGAACACTGCCTTTACCCTTTTTACTGCAGTGTAACTTTTCACACTGGAAAGGATTCACTGAAGCAAGAAGAGTCTGTGTTATTCAGAGGGAAAGGAAGACAGCAATTATCTTTCATCTCCATATTCGATGCTGTATTGACATCTGTTCACTATAAGTTATTATTTTAACAGGCTGCTGTAAAAGGCCATTCTTACCCTGAAACCAGAGAAGCTGGTCTCAGATCAATACAAGGCACTGAGAAGCTCTCAGCAGGGACCTCCTTTTAAGTTTATGCTTCCTAAAGAACAGCAGGAAGCCCAAAACCTGAAAACTGAATTTCTAGGTGCCACAGAATCACAAGTAGTTATCAAGTACTATCATTCAGTTTCTGGTTATAATTAATCTTTACCCACTCAAGCAGTGTCATATAAACCTTTAAGTTTAGATAGTGAAAATGTCCATCTTCAGGATCGAACRTCGCTGAATTTGGGAATTTAGAAATTAGATTTAAGAAAAATGCAAGGCACAGATCTGTCACAGCTTGTTCCATCTGCAACATACTCTGCACATTTACAAAGAACTTTTCTGAAAAGATTCGTGAAGGTGGTCTTTGTTACAAAAAATAATTGTCTTGGTATTTTACATGTAAGTAAACCGACATTCAGATGGACAATCCCTACCACATTGCAGATTTAAGGTTAGGAAAAGTGAAATTCAGATGTCTTCAAAAACAAAGAAACCCCTAAAGTTTCCTAGTAATACYAGAAGTTCCACAGACAAGACATATCTCACCTTTCACTGTCAGAGCTGTTTTCAGATTTTGCTCCAGATATTTGTTTTTCATTTAATTCAAGTTGTTTTTGCAGCTGGTGACGTTCCTGAACAAGAAGAGTCATCTTTCAGTTCTCCATGTATTAAAATGTAAAGGCTTCACAAAGCTTATTTCATTGCAATTCAAAACATCATTTGTGAAATTAAAATAGAAACTGATTAAACAAAATTCATTCATTTCCTATAGCCAAGGAGCACAGAATACATAATAATAAAATTAATTTCCCAGCTATGCATGGAAATTAGATCAGAGTTTTCAATTTTCTATTTGAAGTTGTATGACTGTACTTGAAACTGAGTTTTTTCAATAAAAAGATGAGTCATCAAAATCTTTAACTACATAAATGTCAAATTGTCCACATTATCAATCCAAAAAGATCTCCCAATCCAAGGCTGAGATAAAAGATATTGCTGTATTTTCTTCCCCCAAAGGGTTCCTATTTATTTTTAAGTGCCCACCAGCATAGTGCTTGTGAAGATCTATGAGGACTTGGGGACTGAGTCAAAACAAGTTASCAGAGAAGTGTGTTACCCTCTTTAATGGGAATTTAAGAGGGATTCAATGTCATTGGGCAAGTATCAGCCAGATAAGAGCAGATTAAATAACAAATGTGAAGGAACTCATCTGTATTTGTGAACTGTGCTGCAATCCTACATTCACTGCACAATCCTTACAAGCTGGAAGCTGAAGCCCAGGTGAAGTTCATGGAGCCACTACAGGCACATATTAAGCTGAGTGATTTCTCACTGCAATCCCTAATTCTATTAATACATTTGCAAGCATTAGACAAAAGGGCTCAATGCACACCAGACTAACCCATCAAGCCAACAAGACTGGTTTGTAAAAACCTATTTCTGAGTAGATACTGACATTAGATATGTACTACATGAAAGTAAAATTGGTTAAAAAACCACTTCATTTGTAGAAACAAATTATATTTCCTCCACTGACTAAAACACTCTCTGCTCCTGTATTTGAGATACTGAGGTACAAGTCTTTAGAGATAATGAGATGCTTACTCTTGAATGAAATGAGAAATGCCAAAGTACATCCAAGACCATTCATAGTCACTGTGGCCAAGGCTGTCCCTGAGTTTCACATGCCCCAGCAGCTCCTCCTTATTGGTGACAACAAGGTCCAGAACAGCCCCTCTCCTCACTGGCTCCTCTATCAGCTGGAGAACGAAGTTATCATCAACATATTCCAGGAACCTGGATTGCTTATGCTGTGCTGTACTGTCCCTCCAGATGGTGTCAGGGTGCTTGAAAATCCCCACAAGGACCAGCGCTTGCAAACAAGAGGCTGCTCCCATTATCTGTAAAGGGCCTCATCCTTTCAGCCTTCCTGGCTGGGTGGCCCCCACTCTAAYGTCCCCTCTCCCTGCCCTYCCTTTAATCCTGACCTGYTGGCTCTCCATCAGCTTCTCACCCATCCCCAAATGCAGCCCTGTGCTCTCCATGCATCTACCACAACAACATTTCTAAGAGACTATACATCATTTATGATTACTACTTGATTAGGCTTTGGAGACCTTGCACACTAAAGGGAGACTGAAAGGTTTCTACATTCTCTCTTTAAAATAATGATTCATTTCCTAAATAAATGGTGGCACCTTAGCCCTGACTGTAAGGACCACTAGAAAGACAGAACCACCTCAACACCAGGGTCTCTGTGGCAGTCCAGGTGCATTTACTGACATAAATACAACAACCAAGATGCAAACAGCAATGGTATGTCACTAAGCAGGGAACTGGGAAGCAGAAGAACAACAGCAAGTGAAATTTCCTCCACGCACTTGTGCATTTCCCCTAAAGGCAGCATTCAGTTCTCATACCTCTTCCATGCGTTCAATAAGCCGGTCCAGCTCACCAATTCTCTGGTCTTTCTCCTGTATGCTTGTTTCTGTAATCTTCATCTTCTTATTTGCCTCTTCAATAGCCTTCAGAAGCCGATTTGTTTCCTCCTACAAATAAGAACATTTACATGTAAGAATATATTACATTAGCATCTAATATATTAACGAGGAATATTTCTTTTTCTTTTCGGCTATAGAGCCAAGCCAATAGCACTTAAAGAGCTCAAAGCTTTTCTGTACACCTGCTCAGAAATCTGTGAGTTCTGTAGAACAAAAGATTTTGGGTACTTTGAAATACACAGGTATTAGTAAAGCATCATCATGCCAATCCGAGAAAAACTTATACCCATTTCTTAGACAGCYGATTTACCTTCTGAGGATGCCATTAAGTAACAGCATGAGAAAAATATGCTGCTGAAAAAGACACCTTTTTAAACACCATAGTTTGCYATGTTCAGCTTTGTACATACCTCACATGTAAAGCAATATGAAYAAAAAGAGATGGGGGCATCTATCTTCAATCTCCATCATTATCTGACTCYATCATTTAAAAAAATACAATAACTGCTCATAGAAAGGTTTAGCTTTGGGCTGGAGGGAAATCATGGGGCAGGAAGAGTTCTTGCTCCAGTAGCATACAGTGAAGTTGCTCTTCCTCTCCTTCTTAAATTGTCACTTAAAATTGGATGTTTTATCTGTCTTTTTTTAGGGAATCAGAAGTTAAAAAAAAAAAACAACTTACCGTACTTCAAATTTTGAAATYTACATTACCACTGACATTACTATGTTTGAACACATATTTTTCTTAGTCCTACAACCCCAAAAATTTTGAAAGCTTAATAACTCTGGCACAACCGGTCACAGAGACAGAAGTGAAGAAGCACACATCAACTCTGSAGGATGAAGTGATTGAGAAATGACATCCAAGCTAAATATCACCCTTACAGACTCGCTATACATACTAGGAGGATTTCTTTCTCAGCCTTATGTTTGTGCTCCTCTTCTCGCAATTTTTCCTCATACTGACTATACAGCTTTCTTGTCATCTCTCTCATGACTTCAGCATTGGCTTCCTGTGATGATTCCACCTGTGAGAGAGGAAGGTTGACCCATCAGTAAGTACAGGATTGCTGGCAGCAGGAGAAAAGACTTCACATGATGAGTAAAAGAGAGTTTGAAGTTAAGCTCCACCTTGTTATAACCTGACATTGCAAAAGTAGATTTCCATTTGCATCAAGACCATTTGTAGCATTCTGTCACTATTCACACAATCTGAAATTGTAGAAGTTACTGTTCCATAAAATTCCTCATTTTCTGAATTTAGCTCAATAGTTTCYCCATTGAAATGACATTGTCTCCCCCCGTTCTACTAAAGCATAGATTAGAGAGGGATTAGACTYCTGTTTCCAAAWKGSCMMRRA